GAGGCGGGACCAAAGAGCCAAAGCTCAACCCCCGCTAGCACAAATAGGCGAGTACACTGCTCAGTAAAACTGACACTAGTGTGCTTGTGAATCCTCTGGCGAGCCACGGGAGACATCTCCCGTCACGCAGAGTGCAGTCGCACCTCCACAGATCTCCAGTATCATCTATTGATACTGGTAATGGCTCAAAAGGGCCACCACTTACGGGCTATTCATGCCCGTGCCATCTTTTGGGTGGCTTAATCTTCATCAATCAATCAATCTCTGGCGAGTGACCCAGACACTGGCTGCCCTCTATGTACCGTGGTGGGGCCCATGTGCGGCAGGTACTAACAAAGATAACTAGTAGTGCTGAGAGTCTGCCACCTGACTGGTTACACGTCTCTCCAAGAACGAGTGTTGAAATAATGATATCTCAAGGGTTGTTATCCATGGCTCCCACACCTCGTATACGCGGCCTGGGACGCACTCGCTAATTCAGTATGTTCTTTGAGCACAGAAATAGCACAGTTTTAGATAACAAAAACTGATTATGTACAGTATCGGTAAATTGATATGTCTTGTCTATTGTACCCATTCAAAAGGTGCTTGTGATGAAATAGGTGAAAGGTGAACTAGATATAACCTATTTCTGGATGTCTGTCCGGTAGATATAACTTATTTATGGTTCTAAGTAGACCCTGGAAAAATGTTGATGTTTATTGAATAAAAAAGCTATGAAATGTAATGGGGTTTTTGTTTGGGTAGTTGTTATTTTGATTTCAGTCATTGACATAGTTGTTCGACAGCCTCCAGTCTCGACAGGAGAAGGAAAACGGAAGCGGTCAACATGAAGATCCCTCTACCGATACCGAAACAGGAGGACGGACAGGCGACGTGGAGGGGGGCCAAAAGACAGAGGGGAGGGCTGGGGAAAAGGGAAAGAAGACTCAGGAGACAGGGCAGACTGGGAAGGGAGGAGGGAAACACCAGATGAAGAACTAGGAGGAAGACCTTCCTGGTCAGAACGTAAAGGAGCAGGTGAGATGTGGTGGGTGTGTCCGGGTCCAAGGCCTGGAAACGGTTGAGAGACTGGGGAAGGAGGGAAGGGTGAGAAGTGGAACGCAACACGCGAGCATAAGACACGCCAGCGAAAGAGGAGAGCAGCGGACTCGGCGTCTCGCCTTAGGAAAAGACAAACGATCGCAGTGCTTCAAATTGAGGATGGCTTCCTCAAATTTGTAGTGTACACACGCGCGGGAGAAGGTGCGATGGGCGTCACCGCAATTGATGCAGTGAGCCTGGGAAGAAAAGCACTCTTAGAGTGACCCAGGTCTTCCCACAAGGGGGATACACAGCACTCGTGCATTTGAGGGCACCATGCCCAAATTTCCAGCACCTATTGCAAAATCTAGGAGAGGGAAAGTACTCCTCAAAGGAGCACCTGGCCCTAGCAAAAATGATAGAAGGCAGAAGGGTCCTACTATCAAAAATCATCTTCACACCTCAAAGAGGCTGATGTCGACGACCATGAGGGGGTCGAGTGAACGTATTAACCTGAAGGACAGAATGGCCTTGGACTTCAAGGATATATATGTTTAATATTCTCGTGGCAGTGTTTCGGGTCCCTAACACCAGTCGCAATATGGCGAGGAAGGATAACAGTGTCGATATTGGCATTTAATCAGGCCTTTTAGGAGATCCTAATAGGAGGGGGGGGGTCTTCCTAATGCTGGACAACGAGGCTAAGCGGGCAGCTGCTTCCTGAGGAGCAGCAGCAACGATACGCATACCAGAACGGGTGGTGTTAAAAGTAACAAGGTTATTCACAAAATCGACGAGGTGTTTATAGAGGGAGAAATCATACACACATAGAATCCAGATGGTTGAGGTCAAAGTACCTAGTCCATGTAGCAGGACCAAACAAGGCCTGGGACATATGAGAACTGGAATGAATCATGCGAGTGCGTCTGCAGGAAGGGGGTAAAAAGGCAGTCCTCACAATGAGAGAATGGGCTCTAGTGCTTTAGGACACCAGCAAGGTCACAAACACTAGCCCCCCCAGCCAATGTACTGACAACCCAACATAACACACACGCAAACAAACAACACATACACAAATGTCAACCCATGGTGGACAGGCCACCGAACTTTCAAACCTCCTCTCTCTCTACACTTGCATCCTCTTCCTGAATTTCATCTCCCCATCCCTCTACATCCCCCATCCTTTCCAATCCCTTTGGACATCAAAGCTAAAGTCACTCCAGGTGACGAGGTAGTGGTCACCACTGGGAGCTTGGGGCTCGACCCTGCCACAGAGGTGGGAAGTCGGGAGGGTCAATGGAGCAGCCTGGTCTGGGCCCAATGTAGCGGAGGCTACAGAGCCCGGTCTTCCAACAGTTTGACTCGGGGACCTGGTCGCCCACCCCACGAGCCTGGGAAGTTAAGAGAGGGTCATTCGTCGGTATATAAATGAGCAGGTAATTTCATTCACGAATAAGCCCCATACCCACCATTGAGACACATTTAGAGGATAGGACACCTGACATGATGGGGCCCTCCCAGGAGTGCATCGTGAGTACACGCCCGGCAATCACCACCTTAAGAACTGTCAGTCCGTCGAGATCAGGTTCAGCAATAAAAGTGTCCCCTTGCTCGAAATGTCGGGTACCACACACAGTTCTACGGGTGAGCCTTCCCAAACACCGGGACATTAAAACAGAACATGTCCGAAAGAATAATCAAGAATGGCAAAAAGTCGGTGGGAAATGACAATTAGAAAGAAGAGGAGGAAAAATGAAACATAAGGAAGAGGAAATACTATCCAGCACAATTAATGAAGATGGCAGCAGGATCATAAGGCTTCATAAGGACAGAGGACTGTCCCACAGAGCATCACACCCTGGCAGCCACCCACCAAGTCCCCTCATGAAAACAATGGTCTGGAAAGGGAGGGAGGGGGGGGGGGGGCCAACGTCATTAAACTGATGTACTAAATTGCCCAAACCTAACCAAACTGAGGACCCACGAACAGACAATGGGACATGTCAATTTTATAAGCTGCCATTATTTTTTTTGTGCATCAGTTTTTTGGCTTTAAGATACTGTATTCATACGTCAAAATGCAATAAATTACTCAAGAGGACGGGTTCCTTCTCCAATATAACACGTGCTCATTTGGGTTCTGTGGCCAGTTTCCCTTCTGATCCCCAATCCTGGACCATTAAAGTTCTTGTTCCTGAAGCTTCCACCAACACCATGATCCATTTTTATTTTTTAATTCACAAGCTTAGGTAGGTCTGATACTGAGACTATCCCACATGGTAATTTTCTATGTACTCTTCCTTTATTCCCTAACCGTTCTTGTGTGGATCTGCTCTATGCTTTCCAGCTCTTCGACAGAGGCGAGAGGAAGGATGTTGCAAGGACCGCGCAAGATAGCGGAGACAGTAGCGATCACGGTGGTCCTGGAGAGATAGGAAGCCAGTGTCAACAGACAAGCTGAGGACGGGACCCGAACGAAATGCACCAGAACCGAGGCGCAACCCAGTGTGGTGCAAAGCATCATGACAGCAAAGAGTAGGAGCAGCAGCAGACGAGTAAGCAAGGCAACCATAATCGGGCTTAGACAGGACGAGAAAGGAATGTAAAGCGAGTATTGATTGTTGCCGCCGAAGGCGGCTAGTTTATTGTGTATCCTGCAGCCTCTCCGAGACAAACCAGGTTCGAATCCTCGTCACGGCTCTTGTGGATTTGTTTTATTTGATGCATCACGCCATTGTGACGGGTGTGTAATAGGATTGCAGATTTACAGAACAAATTACTGGGTAACATCAAGGAAGCCTAGTTGAGGACCGGGCCAGGGAACTTTGAGCCCGAAATCAAATCATTGCAAGGTAACATTAGATTCAGGACTGCCGATTGCCTCAAACAAAAGTCGAGTCATTTGAGTTTAGTGTCAGTATAATTAGCTGCTGCTTTGTATTGACAAGTCTTCAGCAGTTTTGTATAATGTTCACAAACAAGTACCAATAAATTTGTTATTGCCAAATTATTAGCTCTTCATAACATGGGTTACATAGTCTACCAAGCTTTGCACCTTTTGATAATTACTTCATATGTGGTACTAAAAACTGGGTAGAAAAAAAAATTCAGGTTTATTTGTGTATTGGCCAAAAGCCATAAGATTAGAACCTCCTCAATATCCTCATGTTGAAAATGCAACTAAGGTAGACTGGGTTGAAGACGTCTTGAACAACAAACAACCTCCATTTAATGTGCAGTTGTTCTACTCTACCTTATTATTTAGTAAATTACCATTTAACAGAAAAAAAGTATCCTACAATACTGCTAACATATGGTAATTAATCACATAATACACATGAGTTTGTAGCAGTGGAAAGATTACATGCAGATTGGGCAATATTTACTTTCATATTAATTACAACTCCATGAAGAAACTGGAAAAGAAATGAGTACAAAACACATGTTACTTGATTTCTTATTGAAAGAAAATGTACGCACCAGATTCGGCATGTTTATTCCTCTTCCATTCCGTAAGAAATGTTAAGGAAAACAATCAACAGAGAAATGCACTATTAAACAATTTATTTACACAACAAAATTGTGCATACAATTTTGTATTTGGCAAAGATAAATTATGACAAATCTATCAATAAAAAATTATTAAATGGCTAGAAATTGCATGTAAGAAACTAAATATAAATGAACATTGCTTGAAATACAACAAAAATATATATATTGATGGTAACATTCAGACCATCACGATAGAATAGCAAGCACAAGTATTTCTATTTGTTACAGTGAGTGTGAGAGTGTGAGAGTGTGTGAGAGAGTGTGAGAGAGAGTGTGAGAGAGAGTGTGAGAGAGAGTGTGAGAGAGTGTGAGAGAGTGTGAGAGTGTGAGAGAGAGTGTGAGAGAGAGTGTGAGAGAGTGTGAGAGAGAGTGTGAGAGTGTGAGAGAGAGTGTGAGAGAGTGTGAGAGAGTGTGAGAGAGTGTGAGAGAGTGTGAAAGAGTGTGAAAGAGTGTGAAAGAGTGTGAAAGAGAGTGTGAAAGAGAGTGTGAGAGAGAGTGAAAGAGAGTGAGAGTGTGAGAGAGAGAGAGAGAGAGCGAGTGTGTGCGCTCTTGAGTGAGATGATAATGATAATAGAGCAGCATATTGATATGCATTAATGTAATCACACAAATGCATGAATCAATGAGAAAATCTGCAGGAGCCATGAGGAGGATTCAAACCCGCACACTTGGTATCCCCAAGCACACACACACACCTGACCTCTACACCATGACATGGTCACAAGCAATGCAACCTGGGATTTAGCTGAATTTTCTAATGGTCCTGACGCTTCCACTGAATCCCAATCTGGGTTTCTCACATTGTGGTCTAGGACTCCTGGACCAGAGCCACAGTGCATAGTGGCAACACATGAAACCCAGATTGGGCTTCAGTGGAAGGATCAGGAACCCTAGAGGATTCAGCTAAATCCCAGGTTACATTGCTTTTGACCATGTCGTGGCATAGTAGTCTAGGTCATATGCTTGGTGTAGGTCAAAAACCTGCTTTCCTACAAAAACCTAAGTACTGAACCAAAAAGGTTCAAATCCTCATGGCGCCTAATATTTTCTCATTATTATTTTTATATAATTATCATAACTATAGTGTAATTATATAATTATTATAATACAATAATTATGTAATTACTATATATAATAATTTTATTTGCATACATCAATGTGTGATGTATGCACGCACACATGCTTGAATTATAATAATTGTAATAATATTATAATTATGTAATTATACAATTATAATAATAAAACATTTATATGATGGAAAAAGGGATAAACTGGCTGGTGGTTGAGCAAATGAGATATTCTTTAATTAAAGGATACCTACATCACATCCATATGCTCTATCAAACAGTATACTGTACTAAGAAAATATGTTGCCATAGAATTTCCCAAAAATATTTTATAAAATAATAACTCCCTTAATTAGGTCCCAATTGTTAAAACCTTTCTTGTTGAAATTTTTCTTTTTCAAAATTATAACTCTTTAATAATCCGTATTTTTTGTCAAGAATTTTACTAAATTTATGAACATTCATTAACCGAATATTAGTTTTAGTTTGTCTCTAAAGAAAATGGTGATGTCAAGAAAAAATTGTTGTCGTTTTAACGCAGAAAGAATTCGTGTATAATATGTCGTTTACCAGCTTCTCAAAATTCCTAACCAATTTATAATATTGTAAATTTCTTAATAAGGAATCTTAATGAATAAAGTACAGCATTTAAAAAATAAAATTATTAAAAAAAAAAAAAAAATATACATATAATTTTGAATACCATATTGTAATCCAAATGTAGAGGCAATCCTTATTTTAAAGATCAACATTTAATGTACCTAACTTATGTTGAATATGTCTCAAATATTTGTTTTAAAAAGGCATGAGTACAAAAGGAATGCCACGATTTCCAAAAGGAAAACTGCAAATGGGTCGTTAAAAAAAAATTTTACTTTCTATTAATGATCAAGAGCTTATTGGTAAAATATAACCAAATTTTATTTCAGCTCTTTATCACTACAATTAATAAAGTTTCTTAAAACTACATCTTGTTGACTACAAGAATTTTAATAAAGAACTTTTTGTGGAAATAAATCTGCATGAAATATAATGTTTAAAACACACTTTACTTTCATTTGAGGAACCTGCACTTGCCAGTTCCCATGAGCTAATGATGCATATTGTTACTTGTAACATTTCTCTTAATAGCTATCCTACAATAAACCACAGACACCAATAAAACAATTCAAGTGAAGATAAGCATTCTTGCTCTATAAAGTATGACCAAACCTGCCATTCACAAACTGTACTTTACAACCAGCTCCAATGCCTCTTCACATTTGAGGAGGCAGTAGATTCAATACCACCACAACGTGGCAAGACTACCTCTCATTGGAACACGTCAATTTACTAGCACTCACCAGTTCATTCATCAGTAAAGTCATCCCCAACTTCATCTAGAGCTTCTTTTTCCAAAGTGGAGTCTTGACTTTTGTTTACCGTTTCATCATCAGGCAACTAGAAGTACAGAATTTTTTTTTTTTAGAAACAATAGCACACTAACCATTTAGCAAAAAAGCAATTTTATTTTATTTATAGCCCAAAAGCCCATAGACAAGGTCTCAATCTTCGAGTAAAACTGCACCAAAATATCACCAGAGAATCATCATACATATAAAGAGACCACTTGATTTGCGAACTTAAGTTATCCGAAAGTTTCAGTTTCCCGATTGGGGTTGAGGATTCCCGCTACACGAGCTAAGTTTGGGTCCACCAAGCCTCATGCCGGCCGGGGTGGGGGTTACCCAACACGAACCAAGTTCGGGTGAGGAAGTGGTCCGCCAAGCGTCACGCCAACCTGGGGTGGTGGGTGAGAGATGGTCTAGTTTGCTCATTGACCATGTCAGGCGCCATCACTCTAATGCCTTCTACCCTGTGACGTCACAGATTCACAGCCTATTGTTCCCATTGTTTTGATTTGTCACGAGGCTGAGTGTTCATTTCGTGACTTTGTTGGATATACCTGTATCTGCACAATCAAGGAACATCCGTGCACCATATCGGCTCCAAATGCACGCATTTTGTCAGTGAAAGCATCAACAAGTGGGATACATAAAAGAAAGAGGTCAGTGAGGATATTTGAAAAGAAAGTTGAAACAATTAAGAAGGTGGAGAGCAGTGCCCCGAGAAATGTCGTGTGCTCTGAATATGGCATTAGCAAAAGTACTGTTTTTGATCTTTTTAATGCTAGAGACGACATTGTTCACAATAAATACAGCAAACGTTTAAACAAAAACTTTATATGTACTAACCTTAGTAGCTGTGTTATCTTTTTTAGTATCTTGCACATCTTCCTTACTTGTCTTGGCACAATCCTTCTCCACATCCTCCTCCTCCTTTTCCTCCATCCCATTGACTTTCTCCCCTTTGTTTGGATCTTCTGTAGCATCCTCACCCTCTATTTCCGTGAGGATTTCACCTAAAAAATAGATAAATAAATAAGAGAGGACATGCCTACAACAATAATAAAATTATAAGAATGAATACAAAGATGGTTTGGTCACAGTAACAATGTGTGGTCATAAATAATCGGGTAATATTTTGCTTAAATTAAGTTTTTAGAGTTATTATTGTTTGATGACATTTGGCAAGCAAGCTGGTTATCTCACTGACGGCCAGCAATGCAATGTATAAATGAAGACCTTTTCCAAAGTACAAACTGAACATGAGCACTGTTCTAATTGTGTTTTTCTGGGAGTCACTGAGGAAGCCATTCATACTGGATTTTCAAAATGCCCTAGCTTAAAAAATTGATTTAGTAAAATTCTATAGTTAAAAATTTTCAAACCTTGCCTACATTCTGTAGCTCAAATGAAGATTCTCATATGAAGAAATTCTCACAAATTTAAAACAGAAACACTCACCCTGAAGAGCAGTAAGGCCCTTATCAACTTCTTCCCAGAGTTTGTCCTGGTCCGGGTCTTCCTCAAGTTCACCGTCACCTTCACCCTCGCCCTCGCCCTCACCCTCGCCTTCGCCCTCACCCTCGCCTTCGCCCTCACCCTCGCCTTCGCCCTCACCTTCGCCTTCGCCCTCACCCTCGCCCTCTTCTCCCTGAAATAATTTGCAAACCACTTCATAAACAAAAATATAGCTCCATTTTACAATGTTAGCTAAAAATAAAAATATGGAGTTCACTAACAGCAAAAGCACCATATCATGAACTAATCTCTATAAATATCCATGTACCAAGTAATACCCAGACCAATATTTTCTATCACAAAAGTGGCAATTATACCTGTTTTTACACATACCTCATTTTAATAATATGGAACAAATTACCATCTCATGAGATTCTTAACCCTTCAAATGATCATGACAAACAAGAATGACCATGGCATATCAGACAATACTGTGCAAGTCAATGAGGAATGATTTAAAGTACTGTGGAAGATTGATAAATCCCACAGGTAGACAGGGATGGTGACTCACTTGCTTCATCAGGCCTCCAGTAAACAGATAACATCTTAAGATAAAATTTGCAAGCACACCCCCTTCTGGGTATGAGGACCTCATTATTGGAAGGGTGACCCTGGGTAACCCATGCTGCAGCAGTTCACAGCACTGCTGTGCAGCTTGTGCCTCGGCATCACTTAATAGTGATGAAATATGTAAATAACCGACTACTGTACTTTGCGATGATAGTGTCGAAGATGATACTGACTGCGATAAAGACTATGTACAAGGTTCAGGTATCAGTGAACATAAGAACAGGTTATGATGTTCAATGGCAGCCAGTTTCATGCATCTACACATTATGAAACAAGACTTCATGTTACTTAAGAAATTAAACTTCTGCAAAATTATTCATTCGTGATTTAGTGACAAATCTGATAATGCAGTGTTGTTCCTAGAATTAGAAATGTATGTAATATATTGAGATATTTTATTCGTTGTGCCATCCTTTGCTGGTAGTGTGGGGCACTATGCTGTGCTTGGATTTCATTCCACACCCACCAGACCTGCTTAGTGATTTGTCATGGTGCATAAAACAATATAGTTATATATAACTGTTGTATGTACCTGACTGAGGTTCTGGGAGTTCTACTTCCCAAGCCTGGCCCGAGGCCAGGCTCGACTTGCAAGAGCTTGGTCCAACAGGCTGTTGCTTGGAGTGGCCCTCAGGCCCCACATATCCACTACAGCCTAGTTCATCTGACATTTCTTGAAGACTTCCCCTTATGTTCTGGCAATATTTCTTATACGTGCTGCAATGACACTGAACAACCATGAACCTCTGATGTTCATAGTGTTCTCTGATTGTGCCTATGGCAAATCTACTCTTCACTGGCTCTATTCTGCATTTCCTTCCATATAGTTCACTCCAGTATATTGTTATTTTAATATGTAAACTTAAGACCTGGCCCTCCAGCATTTACCATGTAAATATTATTTGATACCTCACGTCTCCTTTCTAGAGAATACATTTTGAGAGCTTTGAGATGCCAATAATTTAGGTGGATTATTGTGTGCCTAAATGTATTTCCATTTCAGAAATTTCTCTTGCTTTGAAAGGGAAAATGAGTACCAAGCAGAATTTCAAGAAGGAAAACACAAATGATTTAAATATTAAAAACTGTGTGGTGGAATTCCTGGATTTGGAGGTTTTCATAATCCACATATTTTATGGGTTGATGCTGTTTGCTTTGTAATTTTCACTAAATGTTAGGCTATCTGATATTATCATTCCCAGATACATACTTGACTTTTTTTTTTTCCTTCTTTGAGATCTGATTGTGTCCTGTACCTTGTATTTTGTTTTAAATTCATTTTTACCAGACTTAAGTATTTTGAATTTATCAGTTAAACATGTTATTTTCTGTTGCCCTATAGAAGACTTTACTGATATTTGCTTGAAGTTCTCCAATGTCTTTTGCAAAAGTAATTTTCGTGCTGAATTTTGTACCATGTGCAAAGAATGACATGAAGCCAAGACATTTTTATCTAATTTAAGTGAAAAAAAGCAAGCAGTGGTGTAAAGACTGGCTTGGGGTACAGAACTTTTTTCCACTGTACTTTTTTTTTACTCTTTGCATTCTGTTTGACAAGAAATTAATATCCATCACCTTTCTATTTATCTCATTTTATGGATAATCACTCCATGGTCAAATTTATTAAATGCCTTAACAAAGTAAATGTATACATCTGCATTTTGTTTTTATTCTGATAATTGCTCTTGGAACTGTGAATGGTGGTTGCTACTACTACCTCTGGTTCAACCTCACTTCACATGATGTACCTGGATGGGGTTCTGGGAGTGGTTCTACTCCCCAGACCCGGCCAGAGGCCAGGCTCGACTTGTGAGAGCTTTGTCCAACAGGCTGTTGCTTGGAGTGGCCTGTAGGCCCACATAGCCACCACAGCCTGGTTGGCCCAGTACTTCTTGAAGAAAACTATCTAGTCTTTTCTTGAAAGTGTTCAGCACTTAACCATTCTCATTGTGTATCTTACATTTCTCTGGCTTAATTGTTGAAACATTTACCTCAGCCCTCTTCTGTTCTTTTAAGAAAAACTTTCCAAATAGTAAATTCTCAGTATCATGGACTTGTTCTTGTGGGTTCTGCATGTTTTGTATGTTTATTGTGCATATATTTTTAGTACATACACAGCAGCATCTACAAAATCCATTTTACATTTCCAACCCAGTTCAGATTTGCACAAAATCCAGATTTCTGGAAACTTGCCCTTTTTTGGACTGTTTATCACCAACTGTTCTGCATTTCGCTTATAACATATGCCAAATTTTGTGAAATATAAGATGAAGGCATACAAACATGCATACCAAAACAAGAGATGCAGAACCAGAAAACAGGATTGGTTGAAAAGAAATTGTGAGGCCAAAGAGGAAAAAACAAGATGGGTTCAATATAGGAAGAGTCCTAACCTTCAAACATACCAGCATTACAAGCAAGGAAGAAACATACAAAGCACTGAGGAGAGGGAGAAAGTCACTTTGAGAGAGGAATACCATACACAATGTATAACAGATCCAGGCCTTTTCAATAAATTCAATAAAAACAAGCTGTATGTAAAGGATACAATCCAGAGATTGAGAACGGGGAACAGGACTACTGAGAATGAAAAAGAAATGTGTCAAATGCTAAATGAACAGTTCCAAGGTGTGTTAATAAAAAATTAAAATTTCAGAGAGCTGGACCCAATGTCAATTCCAGAGCACACACAGTTATCTCAAGATTAAGTGGAAAAATTACTCTAGGGGCTAGGAAGAAATAAGGCAGTTGGACTGATGGAGTTTCACCTTGGGTGCTGCAAGAATGTGCAACTGTACTGTGCATTTTAATCCAATTAATATTCCCGACATCCTTGTGTACACAAATTTTAGCCGATATATGGAAAAAGACAAACATAGTTCCAATCTACAAAAATAGTAGCAGAGAGGAGAACCTCTAATTATAGACCCCATATCATTAACAAGTGTGGTAGTCAAAACACTAGAAAAAGTTAAAAACACCTGGAGAGTAATGACATAACGGACAGACAGTATGATCTTCGAGTAGGAAGATCCTGTGTAACAAATCTGCTTAGTTTTTATGATTAAGCCACAGAGATTCTACAGGAAAGAGATGGTTGGGTTGACTGTCTATTTAGACCTAAAAATAAAGGCCTAAAAAAAGGCTTTTGAGAGTCCCACACAAAAGGTTGTTCTGCAGAGGAACACAAAGAACATTGTGAGAGGAGCTTGTATCACTTTCCAACTTCAGCCTTGCTTTTAATTACATGGATGAGGAAATACTAAAACTGTTCCTGACTTCTGAGACTAAAATTGGAATATGCAGCTGTTGTATGATGCCCATTTCTCAAGCACATAAACTGGAAAAGGTGCAAAGGCATGCTACAAAATGGCTTGTGGATCTGAAAAACCAGATTACAAGGAGAGACTAAAGGCAGTAAACATACCAAAACTAGAAGATAAAAGAAAAAGAGGGGATATGATCACCACTTACAAATAACTAACAGGAATCTACCAAATTGACAAAGTGGAATTCCTGAAACCAGCAACTTCAAGAACAAGAGGACACAGATTCAAGCTAACAAAGGTGGGAGAAAAAAAAATTAGAAAGTTCTCTTTTGCAAACAGATTGGCAGGCAGTTGAGTTAGGTGAGAAGGTGGTGGAGGCCAAAACCATCAATACTGTCTCCACTCGATCATCCGGACTATATGGGAAGGCCCCCCCAGCCGGAGTATCACATTTTCAGGATAATGGTACTTTTTCACCTACGAGTCCAAACTAACCATTTCCAACTATTTTTATACTACAAACAACAATTTGAATTGCCTTGCCACATATAATTATTAAATATTCAACTAGAAACCTCAACTTACCTTGTTGTTCATCGTCTTGATTGATGCCACACATCTTGAAGTTAAAAATTCTTGACAATTTACGTAACTTATACTAACACAACACTAAAATTAACACTTAAAATTATTGTACAGTTCATTAGGCAAAGTTAGTTTTCACTGTCAGCTGCGGAAGCCTCACTGGTTGAAGGCACTTGGCTTGCTTGTGCTGCCTCACTTGTTGAAGGCCCTTGGTTTGATTTTCGTACCATATAAGAATCAAGTGTTGCTTGCCTTCTGTGTTCACTGGTCAGTTGTATGATCAGCTCTTTTGTTTGCCTCAGGTATCGATACATGTTTCCAACTTCTGGATGAGCACAATTGGATGAAAAATTAATTAACAAGTCAACAGAAGACATGAGTTCACTGCATTTCGTGGTCATTGGTGTTGGTTCTTCACTTCCTTCTTCATCCTCCATCTCTACGTCGACCTCACCAGTAACAGACTGGAGAATCTCGTCTTCACTCAATACACAAGATCCTGGGTCATTGGCATCTTTTTTCAAGCCAATCAACCACATTCTGTCTTTCTAAGTTTTTGCCGGCATTTCTAAACATTCCATGGATTTCATCTGTAAATCCTTCAAAATCCATTTCTGCATCCTCCTCATTGCTGACTGTAGACATGAGTTTTTTCCAGGAATTTTTCAAAGTCAATTCCTTTAATTCACTCCACACCTTGGCCCAGTTATAGAGAGCTTCCTTGATTGTATAGTTCTTCAAATTCTGAAGGCTTTTTTTAGCCCTGTTATCCACACCGAGTTCAATATCTTCCGGAAGAGCCAAAACCATCAAAACTTCGTTTATCATCTTTTTGGTGTACAAGCTGTTCGTGGCACATATAACTTCCTGATCCATAGGCTGGATGAGAGAGGTTGTGTTAGGAGAAAGTGCCATACACGTTATCTTGCCATCTTGTGAGGTTAATGTGTCAATTTTGGGGTGGGCAGGCGCATTATCAAGCACCAGCAAAGCCCAAACTTCGCTTGGCCTTACTTTGAGTTTCTTAACTTGATAGGTACGAACTTCCCTGCAGAACACATCATGAAACCAGGAAAAAAAGATCTCGTGTAAATCATGCATTTTGTGAGCTATAATATTTGACTGGCAGTCTGTCCATGCAATGTTGCAAGGCTCTTGGTTTCTTAGATTTGCCAACAATTGCACACGTGATTCTGTCTGTGCCGTCGGCATTCACACACATCATGGCCGAGAGCCTGTCCTTGTTGACCTTACGTCCTGGCACACAACCCTCACTCCTCGTTGCTCGAGTTTTTTCTGGTAAACGCCTCCAATACAACCTAGTTTCATCTGCATTATAAATTTGATACGAATATAAATTATTTGCCACAATGTATGCTCTTAATTTCTGTTTAAATGGTTCTACACTGCTTTCATCTGCACTCAATTTTTCACCGACAATTTTCCTCTTCACAATATTGTGCCTACACTTGAACCTTGCAACCCATCCTTCACTCGCTTCGAAATCCTTTATTCCAAGGCTTGCAGCAAACCTGCTTGCAGCATTTTGTATTTCTGGGCCGCGAATTGTCACGCCAGCTGTGCGGTGCTGAGCAAACCACTTGTACACGGCCTCATCCAACTGTACATGCGTCGAAGTTTTCATAGTCTTTTTACCACACCCTCTGCTAGTGCTTGCACTTTCACAAGTTGAAATTAATTTCATAAGTTTCTCTTTGTTTGATATATATCAGAAAGTGTCTTATATAGTGCCTATATTAAATCCCTTGGCAACACTTGAGGTCGACCGGCCATTTTTACAAAGTTGTATAACACACAGCTTGTCCTTATTTGTTAGGACAACCTTCTTCCTCTTAACACCTCCAGAACGATTCATGCTGCTACCATAGTCTTGGCCTAAAATGTTCAAAGTTACTATGAAAATAAAAAAGGTATTTAAAAAAAATATTTCACTAATGGCACGGCACTGTGGAGTAACATGAGGGTAGAGAGCACATGGCTTGACCAGGCCTGGACGGGTCCAGTTGGGGCAGGGAGGAGGCACGTTACGTAGGCCGCCAGCAGGGAAAAAAATATTTTTGAAGGAAACTTCAGCCTGTGCAAATTGTCTTTAGGAAACTTGTATGGTATTTTTTATTACATAATTACTAGTATTTCTTTTGATTTTATCTATGATAAATTTTTCTAAAATCTATGGTAATTCCTGTACTGTAGTGTATAGGCCGTTCCCCATCCCCCCCAGGTGGTCCCTCCCAATGCCCCCTTCTCTCCCACCACCACCCACCCACCCCACCCCCTCCAACACCATGCGCCTCGAGCCACAGGCAGACGGGATTAATACGGTATGGCCCGCCTCATGGTTTTCATATACGGACAATTCCATGATTATCCAGCTGACTGTCCGGATAGTGTAACATCGGCAGCAAATTAACCGGCTCCGATATTTTATCCGGCTAAACCAGCTTTTATCCGGCTCCTGTGGCCATTTTAGACAGATATTGAGAACTTTATCCTGTCACGATTTTGGCCATATAAGGGCGTTTTCCGGATGTTCGAATCCCAGATAATCGCGGGGTTACAGTAATTTCAAAGCATTATACGACAAAGAGTACAAGGAAGACGGGACACCACGAGTGTAGCTCTCATCCTGTAACTACACTAGTGGAAAATGTGGCTAGATGTGTGCCCCCTCACAACAGGTCTGGATGCTTAATTGAAAATGTCAAACTCATTTGTACAATTTTAAGTACAGTACAAGTTTAGCAAAACATGTACAATTTTAAACAAAACCAAGATTAGCAACTAAGCATATATTAGTTGATAGAAATTGCATGGCAATTTGGATTTCAATATACCCCTCTCCAGGATCAGGATGTTATTCTTCTGAAATGTAAATCTTGGAAGGAAATTCACTAGGTGGAATTGATGCATTGTTTAGAGGGGATCCAATTATTGGACTGTGCATTATTTCAAGCACAGTACAGTATTTACATTATTATTTTTTGTTGGGCTTGTGTGTTTCCTTTACAACCTACATGCAATACAAATGTATATCTCTACAATAAATACAATCTCAGCCTACCTGGTGTGATGCTGGATGATGGTCCCAATAATGAGAGAGGTGATTGAATGATCGACAGTGGCGCTGAACAGCTCGTGAACCCAAAGAAGAATCCGCACGAATAATTTTAAAACAGAGGCTACAGAAGTAAGCTTCAATGCGGCGTACATACTCTGTTCCTGTGGAAACAATGAACACAACTAAGTTCCAGGAGTATATGATCAGAAAGGTCAGGAGACACTTCATTATTTTAACTGTAATTACACCTTTTAAGAATGCATGTGTCACTCAAGATCTTTATGAGTAAATTTCTAATACCAAAACTATATTTTTTAAATTCTCAATATATGGATTAAAATTTATAAGGAATTTGTTTCTTCGTGAGGGATCTTCACTTCTGCAACTACAAACAATAAAATTATATTAACATATGAACTATCAAGGCTAAAACATTTGCATCAAGTTTTCAAAACAATTATGACCAATCTTTGAATAGTCACAAGCTTGGTACACACATGCTTCAAAAGAAAAGTAAGGGCAAAACAATGAAATACTCGAATAAAAAATATATATATATACTGTATAATCATACAATATCCTGCAGAAGGCTTCCAAAATAATCCCAAAATATAAAATAAGGAAATTCTTTTTGCTAATTAAACTCTTCAACCATTAAAGCTGCAACTTCAACATGCAAATTACCTAGAGAATTGCAAGCCTCCATGCCCGCCGGCTGACCTGCCCGCATGCATGCCCGCCGGCTGACCTGCCCGCATGCATGCCCGCCGGCTGACCTGCCCGCATGCATGCCCGCCGGCTGACCTGCCCGCATGCATGCCCGCCGGCTGACCTGCCCGCATGCATGCCCGCCGGCTGACCTGCCCGCCGGCTGACCTGCCCGCATGCATGCCCGCCGGCTGACCTGCCCGCATGTATGCCCGCCGGCTGACTTGCCTGCATGCCCACCTGCTGACTTGCCTGCATGCCCACCCACTGATAAGCCTCCATGCCCACCTAATGACTTGCCAACATGCCCACCTGCTGATAAGCCTCCATGCCCACCTGCTGACCTGCCTGCCCACCTGCTGGCCTGCCTGCATGCCCACCTGCTGACCTACCTGAGATAGTCAGGTTGAAAAGTTCACTTTTTGTAATATGGCATGGCAACCTGAACCTGCCAACCTTCATGCATACCAATATGAAGACCTTATTCCATGCATACACAGCAAAAACAACAAAGCTCTATCAAAGATTACATTTCTACACACAATGAGACCATCATCAGAGAGATCCTTCACAAAAACAATTTAATCAAGCGATAAAACGAGAACACTGTACAGGATTAGGCATAGCCCGAACACAAATCAAACAGAATTACCAGTTGACACCATGCTTACTAACCCAGCCAGTAAATGAGAATGCAGGACAAGATTACTCACTTCTCTGAACAGGGTAACACCTCACCTCATAAATAAAATATTTATGACTTCAATCAAAACCTGCCCAACAGCCTTGACAGGACTGTTGAGCGATGGTCTAGCTTCTTGTAGGTTGGTGTTCAATCCCAGAAATCCAAGCGGTTGTGTAATATATTCCTTCCCTCTTTCCTATCCCAAATCCTTACCCTCATCTCCCTCCCAAGTGCCATACAGTTTTAATGGCTAAGCACCTTCTCCTTATAATTACTTTACCTTCAGTGAGAACCTGTTGATAGTGAAAAAAAAATACAACTGACAATACACTACTATCCAAATTAAGTATCATAAGATCAGAGTTAAATCAAATTTACCAAGTGGCTTATGGCCTTCTTCTTCTTCATCCTCGGGTTGCTCTTTCTCCCAATCACTCTCCAACGGAACATCATCATCGTCATCATCATCACGCCCTCTGTTTCGTCTTCCTTTTGATTTGTCACCCAGCTCTCGTAAGCCACTTTTTGAAGCACCGCGGCCACCTCTCTTTCTCTGGACATGGCCCTCTTCTAAATCGTCTTCGTCCTCTCCAGTTGCCGCCTTCTCTGCTGCCTCTGCAGCATCTAGGCCTCCAGTTATTTCTTCATGCTCAGAGCCAACCTCATCATCTTCAAGACAAAGTACCAGTAATATAGTAATATCCAAAACAGCAAGCCTAAACACATTATTTAATATTTCTAAATATAAAAATATTTAGATTATATGATTGTATTTTCGTAAACAGATTACTACTGTATAATGTGCACAGCTGTCTGTTCTACAATCCCTATACAATTGATTTTTCATAAAACTGTAAACGTTTGGAATTATAAATCTCGGTTGTCTAAATTTGCGCATATTTCAAATGCGATATTGACAATTTTTTTTTACAGTAAACAATACTGAAAACCTATATTCTAAATATATGAATATGATGATCATATGCTATCCTGAGAGCATAACAACACCAAATGAACAGTCGGTGATATTTTTATATTTTTGCAGCCGATTTCAAAATCTGAAGATTTCAATATTCAATTTCATAATTATTTTTTATTTTCTTGTTTTTCAAGTTACACTGGTATCATTTAGACAAAGTTAGAGCATTTGCCTAGTAGATTATTCACAAAACATTTGAATGTTTCAGAAAATTTTAAGAACCGAGCTCAATGTCACACATCATATGAGGTTTTTGCGCAGGTTAAGGGTTAAGTAGAGTACCATGTTTACAATTATATTTTTACCTCACCAAGTAGCATAAACTTTACACATTTCTTCATTCTAATTCAGACAATGTGTGTGTGCGCTGTTATTGTGAATATTAAATACCACAAACGTGCTCTTATTATATAGTTACTGCTAAAATTGTAAAATCTCCAAGTAGTCTACACCTTTCATCATAAAGAAGTACTTTAGAAAACTGTGTATCATTTGCTATGTTAGCTTACACATTCCTACACAGAAGAGGCCCTGACAGCTGAGTGGACAGCGCTCAGGATTCGTAGTCCTGAGGTTTCGGGTTCGATCCCCGGTGGAGGCGGAAACAAATGGGCAGTTTCTTTCACCCTGATGGTCTGTTCACCTAGTAGTAAATAGGTACCTGGTAGACATACAGCCAGCTGCTTCCTAGGAGTGTGTAACAAAAGAGGCCTGGTCGAGGACCTGCTCGAGGACCAGGCTGCTGGGACGCTAAATCCCAAAATCATCTCAAGATAACACCAAATACTGTTTAATATTAAATATTGTTCCAAAATGTCAAACTCTATTACACTTATTAAGTGGTGCCTGAAATGCTGTGCATGAATAGTCGGTTTATACAACATACAAATACTTTATCAAATGACCCAAATGATGATTTTGACACTTCCACTGACAAAATGTGACTGCCACTGATGACAAAAGTGACACTTCCACTGTGGAAAATGTCCATTACTACACAACGAAATCACAATTACATCATGTATCTATTGAGAAAACACTGAGGTCATATAATAGGATCCAACTTACATCCCTGTGGGAAATTAACATGTGTAAATTGCTCCTCTTGTCCACCAACAAGCTTGTCTTCTGTAAGCTATTTACTACACAGCATATAAATGTTCAGCATAAGTACACTTACCATCTTCTCCAACTGAATCAAGAGTCATAAAATTAGCCAGGTCTAGATCATCACCCTCGTCCTCTTGAGCGTGATCATCAGTCTGGTGACTGCCGCCCTGGTTGTCAATTGTGGCCGTCCTTACCTGCAATTCAGTCAATTGCATTAAGAAACACCCATGCCGTGTAGGAAACACTCGAGCTGCACTGAAAACTTTACATGTACATTAAGAAAATGTATGGGGTTTTGAATATTATACACTTACTATTACCAAATTTCTTTACCGACATTTGTGTCCAGCAATGTTCTATAGCTTTTAATAAACATTTATATAAATCAAACTTTACCTTACGTGGACAAGCTCAGAATAAATGCTTAAGAGTTATTACAGTATTCCCACTTATTAGTAGTTTTTTTTTGTTTAAACATCTCGCACAGTATAACATTCAAATTCTGCCAAATTCTCCAAGCAAATTCCATGCTTCATTATTGGTGCCTTCAGCTTTGCCACATGTCAACATGTACACTAACATTCTTTTATTAACCTTGGATACATTTCTTAGCACTCTTATCATACCAGCAAAATGATTCACATTTACATTTTTACTACTTTCATCAATTTCACCCAATAAATTAATTTTACTGGGTGCTTTCTCCAACCACCATATAATTTTTTTACCTGTTAAAATTTTGCATCTTTAATATTACTTCCAAATGACTGAGAAGTAGGGTAACAATATTAACCTACCCTTAAATGGTTTATTGAAGCAATATGATGCTCGTATACCATACGACTGGGAAAGGTAATGCGGCAGAGACCACATCTTGGATGGAGGTAGTGGCGCTGCATCTGAAATGAAAGAGTTGCGATATTTATACAATGAGATATATGATTATCAATGTCTTGTATGACCATACCATTTTGAAGAGATCGTTAAACAGAACTAAACACAAATTATCATCATCTGGCATAACAATGTGGTGTTCCTAGTACCCCAGTGGTGAAGGCAGCTCTGCCTACAATGTAATAAGTATTCTCACTGGATAACCCTAATTAGGAATACTGTACGGTCAAGAAATGAAGCACATACAATATACCCTTGCTTGGAAGAACTACATGGGGCAAACCGATTCGTTCCACAAGGGATCAGCCCTAATCCCTTTCCCCACCTCCAGGCATAATGGTCAGTGACTTACTTTACTAGGAGAGTAGTGTAGGAAAATATCTTCATAATAACCCTGAAGCACATTTAGGTAACTACAAATCCATCTTTTTTCAAGTTTATAGTACCTTAAAATCAAAGAAAATCTATAATGTATTATCATTTTAACTGAATTCAAGCAAAATACTGAATTTTCTCAGGAAACTGGCAAGGGTGGAGTGAGGCAGCTATTTATTAGTCTTCAGCATTATGAGTGTTCCAGTAAGACATCTTGGTAATAAAAAAAAAGACAAATTACAGGGCAGCTTACAAATTACATTGATGATAATATCTGATCAAGACAACCAACTAGCAATGGTATTTAAACACCTTTGTAGGAGTGGCTTAACAAAATTCACTTTAGGCTGTTGTGTATATTTTGTTAATATTAGTATTTTATAATATAAACTGTAAAATATTACAGTACGTCTTATTCAAGAGAACTGACAATTGTTTACACTTTCATTAAGTAGATAATGAATGAATAATAACACAGCTACCTCCCGATGCTCAGCCTCGGTGATGGCCAAGATGAGCCATCCTCGCTTCATTTGTATATTCAACTGAACAGTTTGTTCTGACCATTCAGGAATTTGAAAGAGCAGGGTTCATTAGAGTGAGAATGCACTGCACTTGCATACAAAATTTTTGATGTACTGTAATAACTGTGTTCTTTAATAAATTCAAATTGGCAAATAACTTACCTGACCACTGCACGTATGGTTTAGCAGAATTAGACTATTGGCTGTTTATGATTCATACAATGGAATAAGCCTCATTAGGTTAAGAGTTATTTACAGCTTACAAGATAAAGCTTACAACATGGAGCCATAGGCTTGAGAAGATGATACATGAAGCATATGATAAACTTTCAAACTGACCCTGTGTAGCTTGCTACGGTTGTGATAACTGATGCCATCGCTGGTATTACTGCCCTGGCATTTAAAGGCCAGCTTGCATGTGCCACAGAATCTGCAAAATGAAAATTAGTTATTAAAGCTGATCAAGATCTCCGATCACAGTGCCAGGCGTATCTAACATGCAAACAATATTACTAAAACAGTTTTTAAAGAAACAGTAAACTTATTATGATGGCTAATAAAATGAGATTTCAGTATCATGAAGGAGTTAAATGTGACTGGTGTTCTAAGCGAGTGGTATGCGAGTGGTACACCAGCGGTTCAGTAAACATTCTTTTCAGATAATGTATTACAAAAACAGGAAGCTTAAATATAAAAGTTTCTTAACCTAGTTTGAATACTGATTTAATTTAACTTTTTATACTTTTACTGGAACCACCTAGAATGAAGTCTTAATCAGTGGACTGAGCCAGCCGAGAAAACTTGGTTGGTGCGAAACTGCACGAATTGAGAACACACCTTTTTAATATTTCATACCTATTCAAAACGTACGTGCGATAGGTTGTGCACAAAATGGACTCTTAAGGCCTCCAGTGAGAGGTAGCCATCTTGGAGGAAAAAAAATCCAAAATACCCTAGGGCTGCTGGCTGGTTTAGTACCGAGTGAGCAACCATGGGTCGTGCAAACGGGGTGAGAATAGCTTGAGCTACCTCATCCCTTTATGTATATTTTATCTCGATAAACTTATTTCAATTTCAATGGGTGGTGCATGCGCCTCTGGCTCCCAAACACTTGTCAGACACGGTGTTAAAAGATTGCTCTCTGTCGGTGAAATTCAGACCTTATCGTTTGAAGAACATAAGGGTTATGATATTATGATATTGATGAAGCTTGGCACAATAAGGACCTAACGAAAGGGGTCAGATGCAAGTGATACAAAACCGATAAGGACATCACAGTGAGCATATCCATTAGTAACCGAGTGCCACCCATGCTCACCCGTGTTATCTCCAATTTTTATAGATGATACATAGATGAAATATTTTCTGGGTTCAGTGATGATGCATCTGATACAAGTAGCATAGATGAACAGTGTTAGTGGCTTCCACAGTGGTGTTTTCCATAGATCTCTTCCAGAATACCTTAAAAGCAATCTTTTCAAGACTACCTTACACTTCACAAGCTTGGCTACATCCCACCTATAGGTACTAAAGCCAAGAGTGTACACGAGTGTTATTTGCAAGTGCACAGAATGAAGAAACAGGTGGCAAAAATCTGTTTGTTCCTGGTGCATCGAGAATGGAGTAGCACTGTATACCATGAACTGTATACCATAAGACTTCTGTTTTTTCTTTATAGATGCTGCCACAAATTGCATGTCAGGTAGCAAACAGATGAGCCAACTATCACTTCTATCGGTACTATTTGGTACTGTGTGATGCTAAATACTGTACCCCCTTTAAAAAAACTTTTATTTTAAAATTAATGATCCTTGTAGAGGAAGTAGACCTGCCATGACTGTGCACACTCCTCCAATGTGACCAGCAGTCCCCTGCCTGCATGAAAAATTTGTAAAAATTATTAGAGCAACAAATTACTAATATTTACCTTGAGACAGCAGTTTTAAATTCCTCATTTTCTTCTCTCCATTTAGCCTCAATTTCCTTCTGTTCCTGTCTTTGCTGGATCCGTATTTTCCGAAGTACCACTGAATGCTTCCGAGCTAGTCTGTTCAATTGCGATTTGTGATGGTCACTCACCAAATGCATCTTGTATTCCTGAAAATATGTTTTATGTATTGCAATTATCTCCACATGTATGCTTATAAAAATTAAAATCTAAAAACTTGGAAACAAAGGCAATTTTAACACAACATACTATTGCCTTGTATAAATATTGAAATTGAGAAAATCTGTAGGAGCATTCTCTCAATGATGCAGTCACGTTAGTGCAATAACTCTGAACATTGAAAATAGTAAAACATTACAATAGAGCAACCATTATAATTTGGACACACACAAATACCAGTCACTGGCTCCTCATTGAAACGAAACGTACTACCACACATGTACGCCAATACAACTTCTGCAGGATCTCCCTCCATTAATCAGGAAGCAAATAAACCCTAGTCAATGCTATTCACGGGTAACGAGGCCACGATACTACCCTAAGGTACAGGCATTCCTTACCTGGCAGAATCTTAACATTAATCGAACGGTGCTCACATAGCTCAGGATCTCAGGGTGGGATGGGTTTTCCCTTTCCTCAAGCAGCATACAAGCAGTCCCAGCACCACACAGTTACCAGTGGCCCCACAGCAGTCAGTGACCCACACATGCACACCAGAAGCATGAAGACTGCTCCAGTTCCACCTCGACGACCTGGTTGTTGCATGAACATCAACCACAGTGGATGACAACAGGATAAAACCCAACATCATTCCTGTGTTCCTAAGGTATAGTCTGTTCCACCAGTCGACACCATCAGCGTCACCCCATTCCCCTTGCATCGAGCACGCCAGCGCCTCTTACCCAAGCAATGAGCCCAGCAGCCAGATAGGCCATCCAAGAATGGCGTCGTGTGCCCAGCGAAGGACCATGCTCACTACAGTCGGGTGCTCAGCAACCACTGAGCTGACTCGTTTTCTTCCCCCCCTTCTCCCTTTCTATGTCTATATTCCAGCTCTGCTTTCCTCCGTGGCTTTCTTAGGTTATCTTGAGATGATTTCGGGGCTTAGTGTCCCCGCGGCCCGGTCCTCGACCAGGCCTCCACCCCCAGGAAGCAGCCCGTGACAGCTGACTAACTCCCAGGTATCTATTTACTGCTAGGTAACAGGAGGCATCAGGGTGAAAATCTCTGCCCATTGTTTCTCGCCAGCGCCTGGGATCGAACCCGGGACCACAGGATCACGCGTCCAGTGTTCTGTCCGCTCAGCCACCGGCTCACCCACAAGTTAGGAGCCTAACTTGTCCTCCTGTCCCTGCATGCCCTGCCACCCCCCCCCTCCCCCTTTCAGCTCTTTCTTTCTTCCCTTCTTGCCTCCACCCCCCCCCCTTACCTCGTTCCTTGTGTTTTCCTCCCCTTCTTTGTGCTACCTTCCCTCTTCCCTTTTTGTGTCCTCTGTTTCCACGAAATCAGGGTTTTACACATAACCATCAGACACCTGGTCAGAGACCGGGCTGCCAAGACATTGCTCCTCAGAATCATCTAGAGGTAACCTCAAATTGTGGTCTTAAAAGGAACAAATCTTAAAAAGCAACGATAAACAATTCTTAAAGAACAGGTTTAGTTAAAAAATAAAGACCTGAGGAAGCATATGGTTTATAAATACATAGTTGCAGCAGTGTACATATGTAATATTTGTATTGATTAAAAAAGCTTACCTTAAAAGTAATCGACTTCTGGTTTGGGCAATGAGGGCATCGTAATTCAACAAAGAGCCGTCCAGCAACTCGGCGTACATGTCCCTCACTGTTGACTGCTCGTTCACCATCAGCACGAATTGTCACCTGAACACCACTAGGACCACCTTCAGTTTCCTTATTTCCTCCTCCGCTGCTGCTCTCGACATCCCGTCTACCATGCTCTTCATCGGATATGGAACCATGCCGCTCTCGGTCACGTGATCTTTCATTTTCTTCCGGGCCTTCGTCTTCCATAAATTCATCATCTCTGTGATGTGCAATTTCACCTTCATCTGTCTCAAACCTCTCCATTCTGATGAACAGTGTCATTAAAACATTACTAATGCCAGTAATTTAACCAATCTTTGGTATTTCCCTCCAACTAAAAATAGGAAGAAAGTTGTTATATATTCTACAAAACAGGATTATTAAACTTTGCAAAATTTTCCAAGAACGTATTTAGTTAAAATATGATATCACCTAAGAGTCAAAATATTCAGATGCATATCTCCCTAAATACAAGATTATTATAAACTCTGAGAAAAGTAAACCAGAGAAAATAACAATTCATTTACACACACACACACACACACCTTAAACTTCCATTCCTTTACCACCTCTAAAAAGCAGAGGTAATCAAGAATTGCATGCAATTTGTTATCCAGTAATAATGAGAATGTAATCCAAGACCAAGACTAGAAAGGGGTTGGATGTAGAAGACAAATGAGGACGCTGATGATAAAGAAACTGAGACAGAGAGGAGGAAGGTAGATGAATTGTAAATGGGACAAGACATTGTCCCATACCTTAACCCCAACACTGCTTCAATCACTATTTGTAATTTCCTTCTGTGCTCCAATCTCTCTCTCTGCAATCCTCCCCCCTCCCCCATTTGCTGTTAACTATTTTTAAACATGTGCACCTCAATTTATAACTTATAAATAGCTGTACCGTTTGATAATTTTTAGGAACGTAGAAAGGCTAGAACAGTAACTGCTCGTTTCCATCTGCATAGGAGAGCCGAGAATAGCAAGCAGAAAGCTTTCTCGGTAGCTTACAGTGTCGGCTGGGGAATAGTTTGGAAGTGGCATTACATTGTGGAGAGAAAAGGCATAAAAATGAGACAGGAAACAGGGGGTTTGACTGCACAAGATCAATCCCAAAATGCATCCTCAGGCTGACAAAATTTAGGATATGAATTGGGTTGTGTCAAGTATAGATGCCATGAATAACCCTTAAACAGCCAGGTGTGTAATATTAAATATTTTCAAGAGTGCAAAGACTATGGTATGATCTATTAAGATCATGTGCCAAGCAGCATAGTGCAGTCAAGTTATGAAGTGTTGCCACCCAGTCCCAATGGTCAGCTCTGAAGCTCAAACTATTAGATAAAATACAATTTCGATTTGAATAAAATATGATGCATAATTGGTAAAAACTTAACATTCAACTCTGACACCACATTAAATAAGGTATAGTGTTATTTTTGTGTAAATGAAAAATAAAATATAGCAAACCCTAATATTAAGAGAATATTTGATTTGCAATAATTCCTGTGTAGTGTCACAGAAAACCCTCAAATATGAACTCTCTCTCTTTCCAGGTTTCATTTTCCTTCAATAACTCCTTAATTTGACCCTTCTGCATCATTAGAGCATTCAACACATGACTCCCTTTACAAAATTCTCTCCTGTAAAAACTTCTTTTCCTTTTCAGTTCTTTATTTTCCTAATGCTAGAAAGTCCTCGTGAAGCTTTAGCCTCTCTCATTTTGACTAATCTGCCAAGAATGCCTTCCCTGCTTATTTCTTTCTTACAGAACCCCCCAAAAATCCTGTGTTGCCTGAGGAACCGGTGTATCCTCCAACACCATGTTTATGGTTTGTCTTATTGCCTTCACTGACCCTTACTCGAAATTCTCAGATTCATAGCTTTTTCAATGTGTCCGCCACCTTCTACTGCAGAGCTCTACATTTATGACGGCTGGGACCCCACTTACATGCCCCTCTCATTCACCTCATGCATGTGTCGGTGCATGCTTACCAATTTGTGGCTGCACCATAGATTCAAATCTTAGATGCCCCTTTTGAGCCATTAGTTGTCAAAAGCAGCGATTCCTGACCCCCTTTTTGTATCGTGTCTACTTTTGAAATTATAAATGGAATGTGCACATGTGCGTGTGTAAGACTACAAAACCATCTTATTATATCTCTCCTGTATCATATCTGTAAATTATTGGAATACTGTACATATAAATAACCAATTCTTAAATTTCTTGAACTACAAATGTATAATAATTGTTCAATTAACAACTTAAACCAAATTCATTTACACTTTAAGAAGACTACATAAAGCACTTAAATCCCACTCACTCAAAATTACTTAAAGGTAAATTATAAAATACATATTTAACGGCAGACGATGTCACAATAACGTGGCTGAAGACGTGATGACCAAACCACCCACCAGAAGGTGAAGAAACTGACATTTCGGTCCGTTCTGGACCATTATCAAGTCGCATGTGATAATGGCTTGATGACACACACTTGATAATGGTCTAGGAAGGACCGAAACGTCGTCATTTCTTCACCTTCTGGTGTGTGGTTTGGTCATCATACGTATTTAATTGTCTATGATCAGGAAATATTCTATACTTATCACTCCAAGTCCCATGTATTGTGTCCACCCATACTGTGGAGAACATGAGGAGGAGGGAGCTTCCTGGCTGCATAGGCTTCATCATCATCATTATTATACTCATGTTCATGGAATAGTTCTTTCTGTGGCTGACATTTCTTTGAATTTCTCAAGTCAAAATCATTTTCCATTTGTAGTGTCCTTCAAGTTCACTAATCAAGAGCTTTATAACTGATTACATTGATCGTGTGTATGTATATATATGTGTGTGATTATATATATATTTATATATATACAATCCAGTAATCCAACAAGGATTAAAATCCTCTTAAACATGACGCAGGCCCTATTACTCTTGTGTGGTATTAAAAGGATGAAGATAAAATGGCCTGTCTACAGTTAAGAGGATCCCAGTTCAAGTCCATGCAGGACTAGTGTGTGTATTTATATATAAATATGCACATGCATATATATATAGACACTCAAAACATATACACATACAAGCACAGATACAAATACATACAAGCACGAAAACACGCATACGTACACACAACACAGTATATAAATTTTTCTCGTACCCAATAGAAAGAGCCGCATTTTGGCCTACAAAACCAAGACTCGAGGCAACACACATTCTACCTAATAGCCAGAGAGATTTTACATATTTTTCAAATATTGTACTGTATTTCCTTTTTTAAAGTTCACAACTATAATATTAATATAATAGAGAATTTCTAACTAAATTAGGCCTGGTTTTACCCATGCCAATCATTACTGAAGTAATCTGCATGGTTAGCTTTGACTTAAATGAAAAAAAATCACGTGAATTATAATTAAAAAGTAACATTTCATGGAAGAAAATTTTGGGCAAATTTAATATTTAAGAAAATTTGGCTTGTAAGATCAACTTTACCATTAGGTACAAAATACTTCATTATATAGTTATGTAATGTACTTTATGTATGGTTTTTTATACACACAGATATACACAAATACACACAAACATCCTTATGAACACAAACATCCTCAAGATAACAAAAGATGAACAGGAAACCTAAATAACATGGAAAAAGGACAAACAGAACGAGGGGGTGGTGTGGCGCGGGAGAACGAGGAGGGGGGGTAGGCGCGGGGGGGTAGGCAACGAGAACGAGGGGGGGTAGGCAAGGGAGAACGAGGGGGGGTAGGCAAGGGAGAACGGGGGGGTAGGCAAGGGAGAACGAGGGGGGGTAGGCAAGGGAGAACAAGGGGGGGGGGGGGGGGGTAGGCAAGGGAGAATGGGGGGGGGGTAGGCGAGGGAGAACGAGGGGGGGTAGGCGAGGGAGAACGAGGGGGGGGGTAGGCGAGGAGAACGAGGGGGGGGTAGGCGAGGGGAACGGGAGGTAGGCGAGGAAGAACGGGGGGTAGACAAGGGAGAAAGGGGGGGGGAGACCCAGGCAAAGCTGGGTACATCTTTTAATGTTATATCTAATAAAACACATCAGCAAAATAGAAAATGTCAAAGACGTACTACCAAATGGCTTAAGACCTAAAATACAAGAGCTATGAGTTGACTCAAATAATTTCACATGTCAAAGCTATCAGCTAGAAGAAAACGAGGAGATATGATCACCGCATACAAAGCTGCGACAGGGATCGACAAGGTTGACAAGAAGGAATTTTTAAAACCTTCAACATCTACAACAAGAGGCCACAGACTGGAGTTTAGAAAACAAAGGTGCCAAAATATTATTATAGGGATGACAGAACACCACATATAACTCTCGATCTGTAATTACACACCCACTAAAAACACAGAAATCCCCATTAATTTTTAGATGAAAAGAAAAGCTAATGTCTAGGTCAGACAGAACCACAATAGTATCAATAGTATTAATGATAAATTAAATGGTTGGGTTAGCTTAAAGCCTTACAACCAAAGGTAATATTTATGGTTATAGAAGACGGAAAAGCAAAATAATCTTACTCTAAAAGTGACCCCTAGTAGAGCTAAACAAATGGCAGAAGTGTTTAAGAATGTCAGAAAATTCCACTGTGATGAGGATGGCAAAGTTTAGTTATTAAGACAAGATCTATCAAAAGAAGACAAGAAAAACAATCTTTAAATAGTAAAATGATTAGGGGTAGAAATGAGGGATGTGGGAATGTTCCTTCAATACTGGATTTGGTATTTAACAGTTAAAAAGCTATCCTTGATCCTCAATTTTTTCCTCATTTAGGAAAGAACAACCATGTGCTCTTGGAAATCAAACATGCAATCCATATCTATAAAAGAGAATGTCTTAATCTGAGGTTGGAGGCCAGATGCTTGCAGTTAGCTTCTCACAGTGTTCCATGGTGATTCTTGATTGTATGGAGTGCCATATGGGAATTGGGATCTACCCCCATGCCCCTAGTGTAGGATTTGCTCCTATTACACTAACCACTGACTCCTATAAAGTATGAAATGAGGGTTTGATTTTTCAGTTTTTCCAATAAATTTTCAGTTGGTCATCACACAAACAATATAACCACAACGTTAAAATTAATGCTGTGGTAACATTGTGTATCTGTGGATGCGTAAATATTGCATGTTTTGAGAGGCAGAAAACAGGAGGGAGGGAGAGAAAATGGGAGGGACGAGATGAAGGAGACAAACCCAGGCACCGTCAGGTACCTGGGTAACATATTACCTAATGTTATAATCTAGAAAAGAATAGGTCAAATGAAAAAGCAGAAAACTCAACTAGAAGAGGACACTATGGGGAACTTAGCAAGTTTTTCATGGCTTTAATTGAAAAGATTTAAGATAATAAACATGTACTGTATGCCAAATTTTGAGATGTGCAACACCCAAAATTTCATACTTAAATTGAAATGCAAAACTAGAAAACAGGATAGGCTCAACAGTAACTGTGAGAGGACCAGAAAAAAAAGTATTTGATATAGGAAAAGGCTTGCCTTCAAACATACCAGTAATACAAACAAGCACAAAACTACACAACAGTGAAAAGGAGGGGGGGGGGAACAAAACTTTGAGAAAGGGATAGCTGATATGTTAAACATGTGAAACAATCTTGCCAATTCTATAAATTCATAAAAAGCAAACTGCAAGTAAAAGATCAAATTCAGAAAATAGAAATGAGACAGCTATTTATGGACTGAAAAGGAAATGTGAAATATCAATTGAACAGTTCTAAAGTGTCTGTGCAAAATGAAACTGTCATAGAACTAGACCAGGCATTCTCAACAGGAGTGATATCATCTCCTAGGGAGTATCTTTTAATTAATTCTGGGTCATACATTAAATAAACACACAAAATGAAAGATGTAACACGAAAAGTTATGTCAGAACACTGGAAAGATATAAATAATTTTGTGATGATGAGCGTCCAAAATTAAAATATTTGTTAAAATTCTAGTTATTGTTCTATTATTAGGGGACTAGTTTTAAAATACGCGCCTTTAGATTGCGAACAATGATACCAAAATGAAAGACGTAACACGAAAATTGAGGTTATCAAACTGAATGACTACACACATTAGGCTGAGGTGTGCAAATTGGGGCTCGTTCACGGGTAACTTTAAGCTTTGCTGCGGGAAGTCATGCCGGGCTTTTGGACATTATATGCCTATACACCTACAGGGAATTTAATTGTGAACACAATGATACCAAAACGAATGACGTAGCACGAGAATTAAGGCGAGAAAACTGAAACGAGTACACACATTTTACGGATTTTGTGCGCTCATGGTTAACTTTTGCCGACTTTAGGCTTTGCTGCGGGAAGTCACGCCAGGCTTTTGGACATTATATGCCTATACACCTGTAGGGAATTCTATTGCGAACACTGATATCAAAACGAACGATGTAGCACGAGAATTAAGGCGAGAAAACTGAAATGAGTATACACATTTCGGTATCGCTACGCGCTAGCCGGGTGCACGACCTCTTGAGTTGGCGGCGAGCTTGCCCGGGGCCCGAAAGTGTTAAAAACAAATCTAGGGGAAATTCTGGATAGTAAATGGTCACCAGAGGACCACATCAAGGGCATTGTTAGAGCAGCCTACACTATGATTGCAAACTTCAAAATCTCTTAACTACAAGATAGAAAAATACGGAAGAAATTGTTCATGACATTTACGAGCCCAAAATTGGAATATGCAGAAGTTGTATGGTGTCCATATCTCTATCTCAAGAATATCATCAATAAACTAGAAAGATTACAAACAAGCTACAAAATGTCTTTCAGAACTGAAAAACAAAGCTAAGAGAAGAGGCTGGAGGTGTTAAATAATGATAAAGCTAGACGGTAAAACAAGGAGATATGACCATCAAATACATAATAGTGACAGCTAACAAAAGGGAATTTTTGAACCCCAAAATTTTAAAAACACAAGGCCACAGATTTAAGCTGAGAAAACAGTTGCCACAAAAATTCTTTTTTCAGTTGGAACAATTCATAGGTAATGGTGGAAGCCAAAACCTTCAGCAATTTTAAAGCATCATATGCCAAAAAAAGATTATAGGCATGGGGAAGACAAGACACCACAAGCATAAGCTCTCATCCCATAACTACATTTAGGTAAACATGTACATTTAGGTAATTACATACATACACACATATATACACATGTGTACACACATACACATACATACACACAGTTTCACATATGATGCCACTGGTTTTGTTTCATCAAAGTTCATCAGTGTTTCAGTGGATTCTCAAATTTTGTTGGCTTGTGAATGTTAGCCTTTCGCATCCACAGTATGCACACTTTTCGACATCCAGTCACTACTGGCTTCCTTCATTGCTCAATTGCTGGAAGAATCAGAAATTCATTTAAATCATGACATGATGTCTCCGTGGTGTTTACCTCTGTCGCTTGTATGTGGGCCCAGGGTGGCCATGGGGAGAGGGCCGCCTCTTGGATGGGCCAGGGGTTCTGTTGCCATAACGGTAGCGAGGGGGGCCAGCAGAGGATTTCTCTCGTTCATAGTGATGGCCCCGCCCCTCCTCGTTGTACCACCTTGGTTCATATCTGCGGGGCTCAGCATATTGTCTGCGCAGTCGCATCTCCTCCTGAATGAATGAGACTCACGGCTTGAGGTTCATCACATCAGCCTAAGGCACTGCCTGGTGGCTGGCTGATGATAACCTCCAAACAATCTAATTAAGTACAGTATATACTACATCTAAGTGCCTAGAATGCACAGGGTTGCATCTCTTATAACATCAATTTAGATTCTTGGAATGCTACCCAAGTCCAATTAGAATATTTGTTGTCAGCAATCAAATGGGCAACCAGGAACTCTCATTCACAATGAACTCTGGCTAAAGGGCTTTCAGCAGCTTGTAATCTCTAGTGATGCTGCTTTATCTTCCAAGATCTGACATTGCAAGTTACTTTCATTTCAAAAATACAAATATCCCATATTTTCTACATTTACATTTTCATCAATCAAGAAGCAATCTCACTGGAGGCTTTAGGTTCCTGTTTAATGTTGAGATGTGCTTCCATAAGAGCTTGAATGTGAAATCTTTTGTTATTAATAATTAATTTAAGGTCAACATCGTTCCTGTCTTTATGTGGACTAATGGGTACAAAGACTCACCAATAGTTTCTTAACACTATTAAAGAAATATTTTAAACTAATATTTAAATTATGTCTGTCAGCTTAGCCTACCAGCACAATTAACCACAGCTTATTGTAAAACTTGTCTACTTTATATAATAATGCATATTTTATAATAAGAGCAGGGTTAATTGTCTTACTAGCTATCTACAGTCTAAGCTTGCCTGTAAATTATTTGAAACAGAATAAACAAGTCTAAAAGCAACAGCAACTTACCCTGTAATAACCTCCTCGACCTTCACGTCTTGTATCTCTCTGGTGGCGATAACTCATGTCACGGTCGTCCCGAAATCCACGGCTCTCTTTTTCTTCCTACATAAACATCCCATATTAGATTAAAAAAAAAAATCTTAAATCTAATAACCCAGTCCCACCAATAGCATGTAATTTTCAACTAGGTGGGAAGAACAATCACATCTATGACAATACAGTATAGACAAGCATAGTTTTTCAGTTCCTTCGTATTTAAGTACTGTACACAGTAATACTTCAGGCAAGTGTACTGTTCACTGAATAAGTTCACATTTTACGAAGAAACTACATATCTAAAACTTACTGAAGTCTTCAGCACAGAATTTATAATTGCTGTTGTAAGAGCCAGCTGTGCATCAGGCCCCAATGAAGCCAAGAGTTTCTCAGGATCATGCTGCCGGTGGAAAGGACGTGGTGATCGACCCTCATGATTTGGCTGATAAAAATCTGGTCTTCCACCTCGATGGCCTCCACGATGAGCAGTCCAGAGACCGCCTCCTCGTGGTCCATAACCCCCTCGTATCCCACCCCCTCGGTGACCTCTTCCAAGTGCACGAGATGACATCTCAAATTCTTCCAAATCTGTTTAGTCTGAAATAAAGAAAATCAAGTATATACAGTATAGCTACACAATTTAAGCATGGGTTAAAAATATATACAGGAGGCCAAACAAAGTAACAAATGGGAGAGAAAACCACCCTGGGTTATATCACACCAACTGCCTCCCCTCAGGATATGAATTACATATGCAAACATAGCCAACATACGAACTGCTGTTAGAAACTAATTTAGAATCATTTGAAACCCTGTATACCACACAAGTCGTACAAATTTTGAATAGGAGTCCTTGTCCTCTTAAAAATATATAACAGAGCTCGAGACAATCCAGAGGTATGCTACTAGCATACCTCTGGATTGCAAGTAACAAAAGAGCTGAGGAGGGTTAAACCTCTTGTCAGTAGAAGTTAGAAAAAGACATGCTTACAGTACGAAATTCTTTGGGGGAAAGACAGGACAGACAAGGACAGTAAGAAATGGGTAGTATATGAACAAGAGGGGACAAACACAAACTAAACACCCTGAAGAGCCACAGAAACATCAATCTCTTTTCAGTGACAGTTGTGAACAAATACAATGGACTAAAGTGAAGTGGTGAAATCAGACTACATACACACAACAGACTCAAATGTATATATGATTTTAGTGAGGGTTAAGAGGCAGGATCAGAGCATAAACTCAACCTCCGCAAGCACAATTAAGTAAGCACACCTACCAACAACCATTCCTATTACCCCTCACTCAACCCTTCATGCGATAATCATTCCTACACCTCAAATCCCACTCATTTGTATTTAACAAAAATTTAATCTTTTCTCATCCACGGCTGGTCAACACTCGCCTTACCTGGATCTTACCTGGAGATGGTCTCTGGAATTCTACTCCCCAAGCCCAGCCTGAGGCCAGGCTCATCTTTGTGATAACTTTGTAAACAGGCTGTTGCTTGCAGCAGCATGAAGGCCCACATATCCACTACAGCTCGGTTGATCCAGTACGTCTTGCAAGAACTTACCTAATTGGTTCTTGAAGATATCAACCTTTGTTCTGGCAATATTTCTAATGCTTGCTGGGAGAATATTGAACAGCTGTGGAATCTGATGTTTAGACAGTGCTTTCTAATTGTGTCTATGGCACCTCTACTCCTCACTGGTTCTATTCTACATTTCCTTCCATATCTTTTGCTCCAGTATGTTGGTATTTTACTTAATTGTGGTTGCTAGGTTAAACCTCAGTTCTTTGATCTTGCCTCCGAACTAAGTTTAAGTATAGGGCAGATTGACTCCATTAGCGATTATTTTATTTTATCTGTGTGCAAGATTAATCTCCAGTGATTCATCACGACCCACTGAACCAGCACCACCCACTGCTCCTCCCACTACCCCAGCACGTACCACCACCCACTGCTCCTCCCACTACCCCAGCACGTACCACCACCCACTGCTCCTCCCACTACCCCAGCACTACTTAATTGTGGTTGCTAGGTTAAACCTCAGTTCTTTGATCTTGCCTCCGAACTAAGTTTAAGTATAGGGCAGATTGACTCCATTAGCGATTATTTTATTTTATCTGTGTGCAAGATTAATCTCCAGTGATTCATCACGACCCACTGAACCAGCACCACCCACTGCTCCTCCCACTACCCCAGCACGTACCACCACCCACTGCTCCTCCCACTACCCCAGCACGTACCACCACCCACTGCTCTAGGATGTTAGTGGAAAAAAACAATGTGCATCAGAATAGTTAAGCTATTAACTATTGTCCACTCAGCCTACAGCTGGGAGGACAGTGCTTCGGATTCGTAGTCCTGAGGTTCCGGGTTCGATCCCCGGTGGAGACGGATACAAATGGGCAAAATGTTTATCACCCTGATGCCCCTGTTACCTAACAGTAAATAGGTACCTGGGAGTTAGAGAACTGCTATGGACTGCTTCCTGGGGTTGTGTAACAAAAAGAAGGCCTGGTTGAGGACAGGGCCGCGGGGACGCTAAGTCCCAAGATCATCTCAAGATAACCTCAAGATAACTGTAATGCAACAAGTACAACAAGGATAATGGGCAGAGCATAGAGGCTAGACCTCACTTCCCCATAACAATACCGCGACCCAGACGGACAAATGCAATTACAGTACTGCCAGGAAAGTACTGCTACAGTTACAGCCTCGCTCCTGTGCCAGGTAAGTCCACTACGGGCTCACCATAGCCCGTGCTACATGCAACTTTTGGTTCCCAGCAGCTGAATCTTTAAACAAGTACTGGCCAAGTTCCACTCCCCCCCCCCCAGCACTACCCGTTGCCCCAGCCCCCCCCCCCCCTTCCCCGTTCAGCACCACTCACCGCTCTGCCACACCCTTCAGTACCCCCCACACAGGAGGCCAGACACGACGATAACTGAAGATATTGGCGGGTGTCTTGGGCGGTAACTGAGGCGACGGCGTCGTCTCCCGCAGCGGTGCTCCCTCGCCTCCTTACTCACTTCCCCCAAACTGTACACAAACTTATGTCATTTGTGCTATGATGTGCTAACAGAACCGTGTCCCCGGCAACGCGAGATGCTGTGTAAGAAGCGTTGTTGTGAGGGGTAGAGGGCAAGGCATGCAGGGATCCCTTCCCATTGAGGACTTGCCAGCAGAGCCCGAGTGCACCCTTCCTATCTGGCCTGCCTCACTAGAGCCGCAGGTGGCCAGTACACCCGAGATACACACCGGGGTGCACTACACCCCATACTTACACTGTCAACTGGTGTAGGCGACAGGAAGCGTGTTCAAGAGCGCGGGCGCCTGCAGGGAAGGTGGCGTTACCGCGTAATGGCGTCCCAGCCCGCTTCTCGCACTCACAACTCCCTAAACAACACACATTTTTATAATTCACAGAAACTATTGAAGAAATCTACACGGACACTAAAGCAAAATTTATACTCTGTATTCTAATATGCATATATAATGTTTATAATGGGAATCTCGTGTTTTGCGTACTATGCTTGATCACAAGTGAACGCGACTCCTGTGGGAGGCGGGGGGGGGGGGGTGCTCCTGAGGGAGGGTCACCTCGTACACCACACTGTAACCCCCCCCATCCCCCCACCCAGGGCAACCGTGACTTACCTAGCCTAACCTAACTTAAACCAAACCAATTTAACTCAACCATGACTAGGACAGCCAAACCTAAGCTAATACATCGTAACCTAACAATTAACAATATATACGGTATCAACAAATATAAAATGAGCTTTAATCGTCAATATGAAATCGTCTCGTGTACGATTCGACCATGACCTTGTGGTTCTCGGCCTCGCAGGAAAATAATTTTAATTTCCTGAATTTAACTGAGTCTACCTGAGGGTCACTATATTTCTAATGTCCTCGACGGGGACAGGAAGCCGGTAGCTTGTCAAAGGTCCCTACCCTTCTATCATTCCTAAAGATTTTTCCAACTCGATTTTGAATTGAAGTACTGCGGCTTCGGGGGTGCTTGACCTATCAGTGCTTAACGGGGTGAGAATAGCTTGAGCTACCTCATCCCTTTGTGTGTATTTTACCTCAATAAAGTTATTTCAATTTCAATATCAGTGCTTCGCTAGCAGTGATTACGATGAAGTGAAATTTAGCTCCTTATATGCACCGCCTCCTAGCCGTTTACTTAAGGCCTCCGAATGCATGATAGAGCTGACGAGTTGGCCAAAGAATCTGCCTTTAAAGGAGAAATTGAGTATAAACTTGGATTGTCAATAAGCGGTCTGAGAGCAATATTTCACCAACAACTTCAATAAAATGATGTAGATCTGAGGCAAAGTGAAGGGGGCATAACTTAAAAATATGCCAAAATATGCAATAAATGAAAACTAGTTTGATTTCAATCAAACTTTTTTGACTAGTTGAATATGAAAAGGGCTTCATCTGGTCCGAGTCTCAGCATCGTAGCATAACATAGCATGGTTTAGTTTAGTATTCAGCGAGGACGAGTTGTGTGAATCGTGTGTAAACCATTTTCCATTCATAAACAGGGGGTTTGGCGGGTGCATGGAATCACTTTTGGGTCTTTGGAGGACGGGCTGCGGGCTGAGGTAAGTCCACTACGGGCTCACCATACAACCCGTCCTCGACTCAAATCCATTACATTCAGCGGTTGACCCCACAGACGCATTCATAAATTTTAACATGTTCATTCAGAACGGGAATTTTCTCAAGTATAAATTAATATTATAATATATTGGCATATTGTGTATATATAGGCATAGGATAGGTTAGGTCAGGTGTTTAGGTTCTGTTGGCGATTATTTGTATTTACAGTACGTGGGTGAAGCATTTATAGCGTTGCGATTCGAACAAAATTCGTCAGTGAAGCACTTGTTCCGGATATGTTCGAACGTCAGCAGTTGTGAGTCGTGTGAAACCGCTTTTCATTCATAAACAGGGGGTTTGGCGGGTGGATGGAATCACTTTTGGATCTTTGTTTGGAGGACGGGCTGCACCATAGCCCGTGCTACTTCGAACTTTTTGTTTTGAGTAGCTGAATCTAAAACAAGAACAAGGTATGAGTAGTTGAGCCATTCCAGTGACCTGCCCGCCAGCAATAGGTGACAGGCCAGGTATAATATATTAAGGCAGGCACAACTCTTATTGTAATTATAATTTATCGTTTTCAATCTTTAATAACGAATATCATTTAAACATAAATATTAAGCAGCTGGCCGTCAGTCGTGACGTATACAGAACGCAACAAAATATTATTGAAAATTAGTATTTAAGGTGCAATATATCTAGTGAATGTGGGTGTTGAATGTTACCAGACTGGTGGCCGCGCACTTTGCCCTCAGTCTTTTACCTTAGTCAAAGACTGACAGTACACGATAATAACAATCGAATTTGATAAGAGATAACAGTATAGTTGAGGTATTGATAACGCCATGACAAGTGAGGGAGAGCACAGTGTGGCTCAGTAATGGGTTACAGTGTTCCTGGAGGCGGCATTGTATGAGGCTACTCCACGGCCACCTTCTCTGGGGTAAGTACTTCACTATATGCTTCACTATATATTCACTGTATAATTCAATATATACTTCACTATATACTTCACTACTAGAGTGCCTACATTCTTGTACAGCCACTAGCACGCATAGCGTTTTGGGCAGGTACTTAATCTTAATTTTCCCCGGAATGCGACCCGCCAAATCCTTTAACAACCAGCTACCCATTCACTGCTGGGTGAACAGAAGCTACAGTTAATTGGTGTTCCTCAGGGTGGTATTCACTGCTGGGTGAACAGAAGCTACAGTCAATTGGTGTTCCCCAGGGCAGCATACTTGGCCCTCTCCTCTTTCTCATCTACATTAATGACCTTCCAAATGCCTCCCAACACCTCAAACCAATTCTATTTGCTGACGACACAACCTTCATTTACTCCAGTCCTGATCCCCTTGCTCTAAATGCCACAGTAAATACTGAGCTAAATAAAGTCCATCTGTGGCTAACTGCCAACAAACTCACCCTTAACATTGACAAAACCTTTTATATTCTGTTTGGCAATAAATCCTCTAATCAAATAAATCTCAAAATAAACAATACCCAAATTTGTAACAAATTAGATGGCAAATTCCTTGGCATTCTCATTGACCACAAGCTTAATTTCCAGGGACACATTCTAAACATATCAAAAAAAGTTTCAAAACTGTGGGCATTCTTTCTAAGATCAGATATTATGTACCTCGCCCTGCCCTGGTGACTCTCTATTACTCCCTTATCTATCCATATCTCAACTATGGTATTTGTGCTTGGGGCTCTACTACCCAAAATCACTTACGTCCTCTAATTACTCAACACAAAGCTGCTATTAGGACAATATCCAATTCTGGCCCCAGACATCACTCGGTACCCCTACTTAAATCTCTGAATATGTTAGACATTAAGTCACTGCACATTCTCTCATGTGTATTATACATATATAAAACGCTAAACTATAATGCCAATCCTGATCTCAAAGCTTCATAGAAGGTTGTATCAGAACCCATGAGCATCACACCAGAAATAAATACAGTTTTGATATTCCTAGAGTACGACTTAATCAAACTAGAAATGCTCTACAAATCAAGGGGCCCAGAATGTGGAATGACCTTCCCAACCATGTAAAGACTGTACCTCTCTCAACCAGTTTAAGTTAAAAGCGAAGCTATACAGGATTGGCGCCTAGTCAATCCTCCCCGGCCAGGATACGAACCCAGGCCAAAGCGCTTGCGAAACGCCGGGTGAATGCATTGCCACTGCGTCACTTGCTACATACACTCCTTAGTGTAAGGACAGGGATGGGGGGGGGGGTAGAAAAAGCCTAAGCTACTCTATCCCTTTGAGATGTATTTCTTTCTTGTCTCAATAAACATACTTGAACTTTAAGGACAGGGCTGTTATGTTCATAACTAGTAGAATACTTACAGATATATATTGTGGCAGCTACCGTGACTGGCTTCCTATCCTCGAGAGAGATAGTGGCCCTTAGGTAAATTCACGCCAAATATATGCATTAACACACACATATTTTAGAAATAATAATAATGATAATTCATTGTGTCGGGGGACAGGCAGCCAGAGTGTATTCATACACGTTAGTACATATGCCTGGTGCCTCGTACATCAGGCACGTTCTAGTGCCTGTAGGACAGTGTAAGCGTCTGGTGCCTGTAGAAGGACAGTGTAAGCGTCTGGTGCCTGTAGAAGGACAGTGTAAGCGTCTGGTGCCTGTAGAAGGACAGTGTAAGCGTCTGGTGCCTGTAGAAGGGCAGTGTAAGCGTCTGGTGCCTGTAGAAGGGCAGTGTAAGCGTCTGGTGCTTGTAGAAGGACAGTGTAAGCGTCTGGTGCCTGTAGAAGGACAGTGTAAGCGTCTGGTGCCTGTAGAAGGACAGTGTAAGCGTCTGGTGCTTGTAGAAGGACAGTGTAAGCGTCTGGTGCTTGTAGAAGGACAGTGTAAGCGTCTGGTGCTTGTAGAAGGACAATGTAAGCGTCTGGTGCCTGTAGAAGGACAGTGTAAGCGTCTGGTGCCTGTAGAAGGACAGTGTAAGCGTCTGGTGCCTGTAGAAGGACAGTGTAAGCGTCTGGTGCTTGTAGAAGGACAGTGTAAGCGTCTGGTGCCTGTAGAAGGACAGTGTAAGCGTCTGGTGCCTGTAGAAGGACAGTGTAAGCGTCTGGTGCCTGTAGAAGGACAGTGTAAGCGTCTGGTGCCTGTAGTATCCAATTCTGGCCCCAGACATCACTCGGTACCCCTATTCAAATCCCTGAATATGTTAGACATTAAGTCACTGCACATTCTCTCATGTGTACTATACATATACAAAACGCTAAATTGTAATGCCAATCCTGATCTCAAAAGCTTCATAGAAGGTGTGTAACAGAACCCATGAGCACCACACCAGAAATAAATACAGTTTTGATATTCCTAGAGTACGACTTAATCAAACCAGAAATGCTCTACAAATCAAGGGGCCCAGGATGTGGAATGACCTTCCCAACCATGTTAAAGACAGTACCTCTCTCAACCAGTTTAAGTTAAAAACGAAGCTATACCTAATAAATTCCCTGTAACCTACCTTACCTCTCTATTGTCAACCCATGTATGTTTTTTGTTTTTTTTTGTTTTACAAATCAACGCTGTTTTAATGTAATTTTCTGTAATAATTTGTAATTGTATTTGTGCTGTTTTTTCAACAATGTTCCCCCCTCTTTTACCTCTATTTTTATTTGTACTCAACGTATTTTTTTCTTTTTACCCATTAGTTTTAAGCTTTAGTCAGTAGTGTTTTTTCCTGCCCGAAACGCTTTGCGTAATAGTGGCTTTAGGCATTGTATGTACTAGCTCCTATCTATAAAGCCAACAAACTTTGTAAAATCTCTTTATGTATGTACCTTTGCCTAAATAAAAATTATTATTATTATTATTATTATATAGAAGGACAGTGTAAGCGTCTGGTGCCTGTAGAAGGACAGTGTAAGCGTCTGGTGCCTGTAGAAAGCACCAGATTTCCACTTAAAATTTGATAAAATTAACTAATGTGTCATCAGAGTTGAAACCTCAATCTGGTTCACCTTATCAGTAATGGCATGAAAAATGATAGTGAAATATGTGAACTGATTAGAAAATATCTTTATGCAGCACAATTCATTAGTTTATATCTAAGGTGTATTGTCCTACAAGAGAACGCTGGCAAATATAAGCGTTATTTACATGGTCGCTCTCCGTTGCTCCTTCAGTGGGTGCTTCATGACATCCAGGACGAGAGGCTTCTAGCTACATTGTATCAATACTTTGCTTCTAGTAGATAAAAGGAAATATATTTACCTGAATTTACCTGAGGGCCACTAATACTAGTGGCCTCGACGAGGACAGGAAGCCGGCGGCTTGTCGAATGTCCTCCCCCATTTACCTTGACGATCTTTTCCAGCTGTACTTTAAGGGTTAACAGAGTTTTTGCCATTTATGGCTTTGGCGGGTAGGTGGTTCCATGGGTTAATAACCCGGTGGGTGAAAAAGCGTCTCCTCTTCTCAGTACTACACTGTGGCTTATTGAGCTTGAAACCGTTGCTCCTTGTTTGTGGTACATCTGACCTTTTGAAGAAATTTTCCGGATCAACATCCTCCAACTTGTTCAATATTTTAAAAGTTTCAATGAGATCCGCCCTGTCATCCCTGGTTTGTAGTGTTGTTAGTCCTGTGACCCTCAACCGTTCCTGATACGTGAGTTGACTTAGATCTGGAATGATTTTTGTTGCCCGATGTTGCACTTTCTCCAGAGCAACTATATCCTTCTGAAGATGAGGGCTCCATACTTTGATACAGTAACCAAAGTGACTACTACACCAGAGATTTATACCAGTGAATCATTATCTTCTTTTCCTTGAAGTCAAAGGTACGCTTGATTATTCCAAGTGTTTGGTTAGCTTTTTTGACTGCTGTTCCTACCTGCTGTGCAGTTCTCATTGCGTGGCGGATTTAGACTCCAAGGTCCTTTTCTTCATCAATCTGTGGTAATGTAATGTTATTAATTTGGTAGTTGTGGCGTGGGTTTTTGTGCCTCACATTTGTCAATATTAAAAAGAATTTGCCAGTCATCTGACCATTTGTGGAGTTCCTGCAGATCTCTTTGCAAGGCTTCAACAACATTATAATTTCCCACTTTGCCATAAATCTTTCTGTCATCTACAAATTTGATAATGTGGTTTATAATATTCTCATCTGTCATTGATGTATGACAAAAATGATTGGTCCCAAAATGAACCCCTGTGGTACCCCGCTTACCACATTTCTCCAATCAGATTCATTCCCATTTAGCACCATTCTTTGTTTTCTTTGCCTTAACAATTGTTTTATCCATTCTAGTATTCTTTCATTTATTCCATTTCCCTGTAATTTTTTTGTCAGTCTTTCATGTGGTATCGTATCAAAGGCTTTAGCAAAATCCTTGTGTACTTCATCCACCGGGAGTACTTTTTTCTGAGTATTGTAGCTGGTTATCGTTTCCAAAAATGTAAGCAGGTTAGTAAGGCAGGATATATTTTTAATAAAGCCATGTTTTGTCGATTTTACAAGTAATTAATTATCAAATAAGACACCAAGCCGGGAAGGCTATTTAGCACCATCAAATACGATCAGATATTATGTACCCTACTCTGCTCTCCTCTCACTCTAATATGCCCTTATCTATCCCTATTTTACTTATGGTATCTGTGCTTGGGGTTCAACCTCTGCAAACTACCTCAAGCCCATCATCACCCAGCAAAAATATGCTATCAGGACAATAACAAACTCTGTTTTCAGACAGCACAAAGCTTCCCTGTTTAAATTCCTAAACACGCTAAACATAAATTCACTCCATACATTCTCTTGTGTCAATTACATTTATAGAACCCTTTTCTTAAGTGCAAAACCCTGTTCTGAAACTCTTCCTGGACAGAGGTAATAGAACACATACCACACCAGACATAAATATCTCTTTGATATCCCCAGAGTCAAACTTAATTTGTGTAAACAATCTATGCAAATAAAGGAACCTAGTCTATGGAACTCACTCTCTAATGAATTGAAAAGCTGTCCAACTTTTGCCTTATTCAAAAATAAAACCAAAAAGTACCTAATTTCATCTTCATAGTTTTCTACCTAGTGCTTTATCTTGCACTGTACCTAGTGCTACCTAATCCCCCAATATTTGTGCCTAAGCCATGTTGCTTTACCATTGTAATTTTAGATATCTGATATCATGGTTGTTGTATTGAGTGCATATTCTACTGCATTATTCCTTGAAATGTTATCCTAATGTACCTAGTAATCTTCGTTCATTATTGTGTATTGTTATTATTGTGTATTATTCTAATCTGCTTTTGTGTCAAAATTTCTTGCACTGTACCTGTAAACATTTTTTGTCAATTTTACTGTAATTATTCTACTTAAAATTATCTGTACCTATAAAGTAAATCTGTAAAGTACCTGAAAGCATTTTTTGTCAGTTTTACTGCCAATTATCTACAAATTATCTGTTAGTTTAAGGACTTGCCCGAAACGCTATGCGAGCTAGTGGCTTTACAGGAATGTAAATTCAACTTAATTTCTATGTTCTCTGTTAACCCCCAATGTACCTTCTTGTATATAAATAAATAAATAAATAAATAAAAAGTACAAATCGGTAACTTAAAAATATAAGGTAACGCGTATTACCCTGTAATATCCAACGTTGAAAATTTATATTACGCATTATCAACACAACTTCACTGTGCTAACTCCAGTGGGTATTAATACGTTGTTAACAATAGCAAATACAGTGCAAGAAGTTTATGTTAAAGGCTGTCATTACAATCAATTAGATGTCTTAATATAATTATAAAGCTAATGTCAAACAGCCATCCATCAAGGCCTGTTAGTGCTCACTATAATCCTTTTGCGCTACTGCTCACAGGATGAGTATGGGGTGCACAATAAACTACTGCTCACAGGATGAGTATGGGGTGCACAATAAACTACCGCTTGCAGGATGAGTATGGGGTGCACAATAAACTACCGCTTGCAGGATGAGTATGGGGTGCACAATAAACTACTGCTCACAGGATGAGTATGGGGTGCACAATAAACTACTGCTCACAGGATGAGTATGGGGTGCACAATAAACTACCGCTTGCAGGATGAGTATGGGGTGCACAATAAACTATCGCTCACAGGATGAATATGGGGTGCACAATAAACTACCGCTTACAGGATGAGTATGTGGTTCACAATAAACAGCTTACAGGATAAGAATGGGATGCACAGTAAACTATAACATACAGCATAAGTATGGGGTGCACAATAAACTGCTGCTCAGGATGAGTATGGGGTGCACAATAAACAGCTTACAGGGTGAGAATGGGATGCACAGTAAACTATAACATACAGCATAAGTATGGGGTGCACAATAAAGTATAGCATACAGTATGAATATGGAATGTGCAATAAACTACTGTTCACAAGTTGAGTATGGGGTATGTACAATACAGCGGCTTTCGGGATGAACATGGTGTACTTTACGTCATCCTGTAATCGAATGTGAAAACATTGCAGAATTCAGAGATAACTCTATCAATTGTGTCCAAGAAATGTGTAAGTACTTCATTCAAAATTATATATTACCATAAATATTATCAAATTATCCAAAGTTTGTTTACCATAGGTAAAGCATGAACATGACTGTAAAGCTGCTGTTCAGTTAGATGGATGTATGAAGCATGAATTAGTAACTATGTAATTGACTCATTTCAGAATCGCAGATGTAAGTTGCTCTAAGCTGTGGGGTTCAGTCCCTGAACCCATTATGTGCCTCTGTAAACCTTTCCACTATCTCCCACAAGATGAGTATGGGGTGCATAATAAACGAACTAAACTAATTTATTTATTTATTTATTTATATACAAGAAGGTACATTGGGGTCATGAGAGTACAGAGACTTGAAGTTTTACATTCTTGTAAAGCCACTAGCACGCATAGCGTTTCGGGCAGGTCCTTACTCTAACATATAATCTTAAGAAGGTAATTTCTAGCAAAATTAAAAAATGCTTACAGGTGCATTGTAAGTACAAAAATACATTGCAAGAAATTAAAAAAACTCATCGCAAGAAGGTACAAAAACGCCTTGCAAGAAAGTACAAAAAAAAATTAAATTTTTTTTTGGCAGGGATATTCCTGCGCGAGCCCTAAGCCTCTGGCTGGTCAACTAAGTGCTGTTTGTTTCTGTTATACTTGGGCGGAGTATGAGTATTTATGTAGTATGGTCGCTTCAGTAAGATTTTGTCCCATGTGTTTAACAACTTCTTCTGCTCTGTTGAATCTAAGTTGAAATCTTAATGGAAAGGGAGGGAATTATCAGGGGAAAGCGCCAAGCCAGTACGACTATACAGCACTTGAAAGGGATCAGGATAAGGATTTGGGATGGGACGGGGGAAGGAATAGTGCTCAACCACTTGGACGGTCGGGGACGGTAAATAATGTTCCAGTGGTCTGTCGGGCATTTCTCCACAGTGCTGACATTTCCTCTCATCTTCCGGAACCTGTAAGCCTATTTCCCATGCACATGGGTATCCAAACCTGATGCGATATAAATGTACTTCTGTTGTTCTACTGCTCCCTTTTATCAAACTAAGTGGTTCGTAGTTGGTTGAATTCTTGTACCAACCCGCAGATCCTGATGTTGCAACTGCTGTGTTGTGGTCAACGTACATATTTTGCATTACTCTGTTTCTAATTACTTTCTTAATCTGTGATAGACTCTGTGGTATGTAAATGTCTACATTTCTTCTCTTAGTTGCAAGTTCTGCAGCTTCGTCTGCAATGTCATTCCCTATTATTCCCACATGACTTGGCACCCAGTTGATAAGTACCCGACGGCCTTGACGTTTGAGTGTTTGCATTAATGATATAACATTTGTGATGAGATGGATGTTATCACGTATGTGTTCTTGTTGCAAGGTTTCAATGGCAGTTCTCGAATCTGTATATATGATAACATGTTGTCGGTCTTCAGCAAGAGCATGTTCCAAAGCCTTTTGAATAGCTAGTATCTCTGTTTGTAAAGTTGAACACCCGTTTGAGAGTCTCCAACTATTTACAGAGTTTCCTGCTTTAACTGCAGTTCCGGTTTCTTGTCCCTGTTGGTCTACTGATCCATCTGTGAAGTATGTGAAGCTGTCAGATGCCAAGTTTGCTTTTATATGCATCTGTGCAATATTACGTAGCAGATAAGGATTACTCTGGTTCTTTTTTCCCTTCAAGAACCATAACCTTAAAGTCTGCTGGCGGAGATTCCCAAGGGGCTTGCATGTAAAGTCTGCATGTATTTTATCGACATCCCTCTCAGTGATTGTGTTTGTTACATCGAATGTATTTATGGTGTTTATTGCACAACAATGGGTCCACCTGTTGCTATTGGAGGAAATTCTGTCCCGAGTTAGTGCTCCAGTGATTATATCTTTAAGTGAACTGATTCTAGGTGTAGTCAAGATCTTGAGGTCAGCATGCATGCAGCAATCCCTTTTACCCTTATTTCAATCGACGTTAGCTTGGTTTCTATTCTTAGGGTCAGTATTTTAGTCCATCTGGGAGCTCCTGTTATGACTCGCATTGCATCATTTTGAATAACCTCAATGTTTGCCCACTGACCAGGAGAAAGAGTGAGTAAGGCAGGCGCTGCATAATCAATTAGGGAACGAACAGCGTGTATGTAAAACATTCTTAACACTTTGTGTCCCCCTCCTAGATGGGGCCCTGTGGTTGCTCTCATTATATTCAGTCGTGATTTTCCTTTCTCCTTCAGATATTGAATTTGCTTGTTGAATGTCATTTTAGAATATATCCACACTCTGAGATATTGATATTGTGTAACCCACTGAAGGTCAATGTCTTGAATGTGTAGGTGCCTGTCTGGAGTGTTGCCGCCTAGTCTCATTACCTTAGATTTCTGTGCAGATATTTTTAGCCCTAAAATGCTACATTCAGATGTTACTCTATCTAGCGCCTCTTGTGCTTTATTTAGAAATAAAGGACCTGTAATGACTAATGCTATATCATCAGCATAGCTTAACAATTTAACCCCTTCTGCAAATGTCATGGTAACGAGGTTTTTCGATAAGGATGTTAAAAAGACTAGGATTGAGGACTCCTCCTTGTGGAGTCCCATTCTCGTGCAAGTGGTAGTCCGACACTTGTCCTTGCAACTTTACTCTGGCATACCTGTGACTTGGGTAATCTTGAATCCATGCTAGCATATTTCCTTTAACACCTTTTTTAACTATGGTGTGTAAAATTGCTTGCGGACTTGCAAGTTCGAATACTTTTTCTAAATCAAGGAAGATCACTATATCCGGACCTGAGTTAACTGTTCCTAGCAATGTTGCTATGCAGTTGGCAGTACCTACTCCTCTAGTGAAGCCAAATATGTGTTTATGCAGGTCTTCAGTCTTCCACAGTAGCCTATTTAAGACCATCCGTTCTGCTGTTTTACTAATGCATGATGTTAATGAAATGGGTTTGTAATTGCCAGGTTCTTTCGGCTTAGGAATTGGAATGATGTCTGCTTTTTTCCAAGAGGTCGGCAGTTTGCCTTGCTACCAAGATGCATTGATAACGTCCAATATTCCTTGTTCTCCAGCAGGACCTGCATGTGCGATAATTGAGTATGTAATGTTATCAGCACCTGGTGCAGTGTCCTTACCACCTTTTTTGGCTCTTAGTTCTTGTTTGGTGAAGGGACAGTCACATTCGTCATTTGTAGCTATGGTCTCATGAATGGCTGTCAACCTTTCATGTTTTAATTGTTCTTGCTGCCTTCTGACCATTGCAGGAAGCTGATATGAAGCTGTTCTTTCTGCAAATTGGAGAGCAAGTCTCTCAGCCTCCTGCAATGGTTGAATACATGCCAGTGGTTGGGTTGGTCTACCTGATATGGTTTTAGTCTGACCCCATATTTTGCCAAGACTACTCTGTTCATTTAGAGTCTGACACCACTCAAACCATCTTGCCTCCTTTACCTCTTTATAAACTCATCTTGCTTCAGATATCACCGCTCATAGCAGATTTCTTCCTTCTGGTGTGGGGTTTCTCTTTTAGATGTTTTCTGAAGATGTTGACTCTGTGGTTATGTTCTTTAACTTCATTACTATAGAATCAATAGTTCTTTCGTTTTGTGTTTCCTGAGATAATGATTGGAACAGCTTTGTTTGCAGCAGCTGCAATGGCTTCCTGCAGATTGGTCTCGTGAATGTTCAAATCCTCAGATGGCGTGTATGTTGTTTAGTTTAGTTCATTTATTATGTATGTTGCATAGCATTTTTCAAGTTCCTCTTGGTATATATTCCAACTGGCTTTTTTTAAATTCCACCTAGGTTGTGCAGGTGGTGTGGGTGTTCGTTCTATGTTTAGTGTTGTGGCAGTAGCATAGTGGTCACTGGTGATCTTTTAGAAGTAAAGTGGGTTTACTTCCCACTTCGCCTGATGCTTGAGTGCTGTTGAGATTAATGTAAGATCAAGGGAACCCCATTGAGTGTGAGTGGGTTCCCCAGTGTTGAGAAGTGTAATCTCAGGTACTTCTCGCAGAGCTGCAGCCAAATGGCGCCCATCTGCATTGGCTGGCCCAGTCGCATCTAACTCTTGATGATGAGCATTAAAATCCCCAGCAATAATTACATTTTCATGCGAGGCCAAGGCAAGCACTGCCTCTGCTTCTACTTTACCTCTAGGGGGTTTGTAGACGTTGCATATGAGGAGCTCAATATTAGCCATATTCACTGTTAATGCTAATACCTCTACTCTACATCCCCACATGAAACTGGGTCCATTTTCATGCTGGGTATGGTGTTTCTGACTAGGGTCATTAACCCTCTTTGTCTCCTCTATTCATAAGGTATAATATAGTGCTGATATCCAGCTAATCTGAAGGACTTCGTGTCTGGGAAAAGTTTCTTTCAAAACGATTATATCTGCTTTTGTGCTGATTGCAGCTTCGTGAAGGGTGTGATTTTTACCTCCAAGACCTTGTATGTTCCACTGCAGTATTCGTAATGGCCAGACGACGGTTTCGGTTGGTGTTGCCTGTTCTAGTAGAACTCCTCTTCGGAATCGACGTCTATATTCTCCACCTCGCAAGTCGTGTCGCTGCAAATCGGACTTCACTGATTGCTCATGGTCATCCCCGGCATTGTTGGAATCTGTGCATAACTGTCGTCCATCACTTTGTTGTTGGTATTGCTGCACGTCGGACTGCATTGATTGCTCGTGGCTGTTTCTTGTTTTGTCGGATTCTGTGCATCTCTGCCATCCAGTGTTTCGTAGTTGATGTTGCTACATATTGGGCTGCATTGATTGTTCATGCCCTCCTCTTGTGTTGTTGGAACCTGTGCATCTCTGCTGTTTAATACTTCTTTGTTGGTGTTGTTGCATATCAGACTGCATTGGCTGTTGCCTGTCTCTTGTGTTGTAAAATTCTGTTGATCTTGAGTAGTCACTGCTTCTTTGAGTTGCTTTTGTGAATGTTGATGGTCTGGTGTCTTGACTACCCGACTGTTGTTGGTAGTCTGTATGTCCATGTCGCGTTGTTTGTCCTCTTGTGCTCCGTCTTGTCTCAGACTGTCTATTTCTTGTGTAACTGTGGTCTGCTGCACGATCTTGTCCATTATTTCACAAGTGATTTCTTGAGTCTATTGTTATGAGGCGTTCTGCGTCATCTGTAAACAATTGATAATAGTCTCTGCCATGATCTTCACAATGTTTTTCGGCTGGACCTCGGTAAAATTGTATATTTGCTGTGTTGTTTCCGAAAGTAATTGCTGACACTGGCTGGTGTGAAACTGATGGTGTCCTCTCTAGGTTCATTATGTCTGCTGTCTTGCTGGTAGAAGCACGTGGTGAAGCCTCGATAGCAGTTTTCTTCAGTGCCTGCTGCACATCGGTCCACTAGTTGTCCCTCCTCGTCTGAAAGCTGCCTCCATTGCCTCTTTCTCTTTGAATTTCTCTATGACTCTCCACGTAGTGAGGACCAATTCACTGCCCTACCTAATGCCTGAGACACTGCTAGGCTTGGAGAAATTCATTCCCCTCCAACGGAGGTCGTAGAATGATCCCCCCAGGTGGAATCAGGGATACCTAACACCTAAATGAGCTGTTTAGTCTACCTTTCCCCGAAAAGGCTCAGTACACCTTCTAAGGTGCCCCTTGTGGCGATGCCCGCAGGGTATCGCCTCGCCCTTCAGGGTAGGACTCTAAGTAACCTGATCAGTGATACGGTCCTCACAAAAAAAAATAATTGGTCATAGGCGTCGAGAGTGCGGTACGAGAGTTTGGGTCGCCTGCATACTAGGTTGCACAGATTAAAAAGTCAGCTGGACACCAGGTAATCAACAACGTTGTTTCTCCATCAATTGTAGATGAAATCGGAATTGTTTCCTTCTAAACAAGATATTGTCTGGGTCTTGGAGTACTGATGTATTCCTCCTCACAAAACCGCGATGATTTGAGCTGATGGGTGCTCAGAATCGTAAGTTTTTCCGGGAACAAATCTGTGTGCGGCCAGCTAGCAATGGCGCAGGCAGCGAATCCTCGACATTGTATAAGAAATTTGACAGAAAAAAAGTAGGTACATTAAAGTAAATTTAAGGGTACAATGTAATCCACAGGTACATTTTAACATAATTTGAGTTTATTGCAAGATATAATGTAGCAAACTATGTGTATAATATGATATAAGATAGCAATGATTACAATGGTGAGTTGTATGGCATAGGTACATATATTGGGGGATTGGGTAGCACTAGAGACAGTGCGAGTTAAAGCACTAGGTAGAAAACTATGAAGATGAAATTAGGTACTTTTTTGGTTTTATTTTTGAATAAGGCAAAAGTTGGACAGCTTTTCAATTCTATTCTTCAATTCTTTTCAATTTTACTAACTATGTATGAGACGTACCACGCTTACCAGGTATTGTTTACTGTTGCCTCTGTGTACAGAAATAGTTTACATTTGATTTAGTAACAGGCCAGCAATAATCTTTACCAATTATATTTTGTAATATTTACATGATGCTATTTATCCGCAGAGTTGCCGTTGAACTGAAAACATGAGCATGATGGGACCTGATTTGTATGAGCGCGGCAGCTTCCATACTGAATTCAACCAGTTCGAGTTGAGGAAAGCGCCGCCGAGGCCACCACCAGAGCCTGCCCAGAACCAGGAACCCCTGGTGAGGGGCATGGGCAAGCGGCGTCCCCTTCCTGCTCGCTGGACTCCTCCCTCCCCTGCCCTCAACCACGTCCCCCTTGCTCCAAACCAACACCCGGACACACAATCTTCTCCATCCTTGCAGGGACCTCTGCCACCACCACCTCGGGAATATTCCCCTCCATCACGGGGATATTCACCACCGCCACGGGGATATTCGCCACCACCACGGGGATATTCGCCACCACCACGAGGATATTCGCCACCACCACGAGGATATTCGCCACCACCACGACGGGGATATTCACCACCACCACGAGGATATTCGCCACCACCACCACGAGGATATTCGCCACCACCACCACGAGGATATTCGCCACCACCACCACGAGGATATTCACCACCACCACCACGAGGTCGATATTCTCCATCACCACCACCACGGAGATATTCTCCTCTACCATCACAAGGATATTCACCACCACCACGGGGATATTCTCCGCCTCCACGGGGATATTCTCCACCACCACGGGGATATTCTCCACCACCACGGGGATATTCTCCACCACCACGGGGATATTCTCCACCACCACGCGGATATTCTCCACCACCACCACCACGGGGATATTCTCCACCACCACCACCACGGGGATATTCTCCACCACCACCACCACGGGGATATTCTCCACCACCACCACGGGGATATTCTCCACCACCACCACGGGGATATTCTCAACCACCACCACCACGGGGATATTCTCCACCACCACCACGGGGATATTCTCCACCACCACCACGGGGCTACTCTCAACCACCACGAGGATATTCTCCACCACCACCAAGGGGATATTCTCAACCACCACGGGGATACTCTCCACCACGAGAGGGACATTCCCTACAGACAACAGGAAGGTCATCAACACCTAAAAACCAACGCTCAAGGGGTGGCAGCGGGCCTCATCAGATGCCACCAGGAGCAGGATATGGCCGCGAGCCACAAGAACTTCGCCGCACAGGTACCCAAGACCATGGCCGCCCAGCCATAGGCGGTACCCAAGATTATGGCCGCTCTGGGACCCAAGACCATGGTCGCTCTAGGACCCATGAACACGACCGCACTGGGGCCCAAGACCGTGGCCGCTCCAAAACTCCAACAGGTGGCCGTGGCAAGGGTAAAGTACTTCAGGGACACCAGAGGGCTCGGCCGGATAAGACTCGATCAGCTGCCATAAAAGTGCCTTCCGTGCCCATGCCAGACTATGAAGTCAATCCCCAAGTTGCTTACCTTCCCAGCCCTGATTACTGACTCTTAAGGTCTAGGTAGTAAAGTTAATCTCGGGAATGTTGGGCGGGACAAATGGTTGGGTACATTTATTTTCACCTAATTCACTGTGCCTAATTCACTAATGCCTGTTCACCCAGCTGTAATTTACCTGGTACAGTAAAGTAAATAGTAAATTTACAGTAAATAGTAGTACCCGGGAGTACCCTGGCAGTAAATATAGGTACCTGGGAGTTAGTCAACTATTGTTTCTCCATCAATTGTAGACGAAAGGTACGAATGATACAAGAAAGGGCAAGAGATAAATTCAGAAAAGATTCAAAACAATACTCCATGAACTAAGGAAGGTCATGCCGTAGCTGGACCTTGGGGCACCTGTATACACTACGTCACCAGGGGTCTTCCCACTGGCTACACAGTACTGATACCACTCCACTACTGACTGCCGAGGCCATTCATAAACACATCTTGAAAAATTCAGGTTGAAAAAGGTTCATGTGTAACAAATTTACTCATTTTTTCCAACTGTTTTCTGTGAGGTATCCTTTGATACCTCACAGAAGACTGATTGGAAATGTAGAGGCACATGGTATTGAGGCGAATGATACAAGAAAGGGCAAGAGATAAATTCAGAAAAGATTCAAAACAATACTGAAATGAATGAATGATTGGCAGATGCAGTTTAAAAAATAATAATGTAGGACTATAGGCCTACAAATGATAATAGTTTCCAGATATCAGGTAGACAGTACTGACAATGGCAAATCTGGGTATCATAATCAATAATTATCTTCAGCCTAGAAATCAATATATAAATGCTGGAATTATAGGAAACAGGATTTATAAAAAAACTATTAGTAATAAGACTTCTAACGTTATTCTTTAGTTTTATATTACCATTATTTAGATTATGCAGTTCAGTTTCGGTCGCCATGCTATAGAATAAATTCCTTAGAAGGTTTTCAGAGAAGAATGACAATGTTATGCCCAGGCATTATAAAAGCTTAATTTATAGTTACTATAAAGGCGAAGAGCAACTGTTGAACAATTGGGTGAATACAGCATAATCAATACAAGCTGGATGAACTTTGATTAAACAATATTTTGATAAATTCTGGTTTGGCAATAGGATTGTAAAATTCTGAAACCAATTTCTCGGTGAAATAATAAAGTGGGATCTCGAGTTTTTCAAGTGTAGGTGAGACAAACCAACAGTATGAGTGGCCGAGGTTGGATCTATATGTGATCTGGCACGTATGGACTAATAGGCATTTATAACTTTGTTTTTATATTGTGTAAAAGTTACAGCCTAATTACTATACTGTATTTACATATTTACAGTCAGAGTTTGTCTCCTGTGGATTCCCATATTGGTCTCCGAATGCATGATAGAACTGATGAGA